TGTCAGGGGTCGTACGAGCGGCTTTTGACTCTATGACGCCAGACATTGATTAATCAATCAGCGTTGCCGTTTCTAGTGGTTTACCCACAGTTGCGTGCATGGTACGCCAAGAAGTCACCGTAACAGACCGTTTCATTGGCTTATCCCTCACTTCAATAGTACCGAAATGACCTAGATTGTGTCGAGTGGACGTTAAACCCCATTTTTCTCTCTCTCTCTCTCTCTCTCCCTCACTTCAACCAAAACGCCGGTAATATAACAACTCTTCCAGATCCTAGTGTAATAAAGACAAGTAAAACGAAATTTTGAACTATAAAAAACGAAACGAGATTGGTAAAAGAACCCGTTACAGTTGGAATTCGAAATAAGAGTAGGCCGTAGCGCCACAGTCCTGGCAAATGTTCATTCATAGCTCACAGCGTGGCGTATGCCCGTTTTCATTTGCACAGTCGGCGCAGTCCTTAAACCCCATTTTAGTTCATGTTATTACCGTAGTTTATGGCCGAGAATTAGAAATTAAGAAATATATTGATATTACACGAGAACATTAGTTGTATCTATATATTACACAATGTCTTGCTTTAGACCATTGAACAATTTAAAATACAGACACTATCCAGCAGGTGTATTTTAATGAAATCGTCACCCGAGTCCGATATTTCATCTGGTATCATCTAATGTACAATTTGCATGTTGTGCGTACGTTATTTGAAATAATGGTACGGCCAACATCAAAGGGTATATAACGTAATACAAGCCTCGAAATGAACTATATGACCTTTCGGTTAATGAACTGAATCACCGTGGTCCCGATGCTAACTATGATATATGGATATATCTGATTTACATGCGGGGTAGGTGGCCGTATGGTTAACACGTGTGTCTTAGATCATGAGGTCTGTCATTGAGTCAAGATGGCGGGATTTTAATTCCACGCTTGTTCAAGTCACGGAGTATGGTCGCCTGTTTAACCTCGTGGGTTTACGTATGTGAAACGGGAAGGCTGTATAGATTTTGTACTAACGTGGTGCGCGTTGGACCAAAAGGTCTGTTATTGAGTCAAGTGTCAACCTCGTGTGTTTTCCCCGGGCCTTCCGGTCGGTTTCCTCCCACGGCTTAAAGACCCTACGCGCCAGAATCCCATCTCTCTCCCTCTCGCACTGTTATAGTGATCCAGCGCCTTGATAAATGAGCCATCGTGGGCCGAAGTTATCTATGGTATATGGATCTGTCTGTCTGTTGTACATTATGCACGCTTGTATAAGTTTTAGAAATGTCGATAGAAGTTAAAATACCAAACGTCAATCAAGGATTAAAAACGTTGACAGCCGATATTGAATATGGATTATATATTTTAGTAGTATTGTATAGATGGATAGATATTGTGAAGTAAAGCTGATTCACCCTATAGGTTATTCTTCTAGATCAGATTTATTTCAAGTATAAGTTTTAAGCAATACATTAAACCAGAAAAAAACCTTGTTAATCAATAAATTAAACGAAAATATAAACAAAGAAATCTAACATTGGTATCATTGAATGTAGTAAAAACAACAATAGGAGGATTTATGAAAGGATAAATTTAAAGATAAATATATAAGCGAAGAAAAGTAATATGAAATGAAATGGGGTTTTACGTCTTGCTGTTCTGATCAGACTGGGTTAATAAAGACGGAAAAACAAATTAATATGGGTATCATTGCATATAGTACAAAGCCGCAGTAAGATTATCTTTGCTGTGTGAACTTCGCAAATGGAAAGTGTTACTCGGGGCCCTGTTTCACAAAAACTTAAATCTCCTTAAAATTGTCTTAAACTAAAATTCCATCCTAACTTAAGATAGATGCGTTTCACAAAACGATTTTAAGCATTTTAGATAAAATCCACTAAGATAATATTGTAAGTTAAAATTTGTCTTAACTTAAAATAGGTCATTTCGGGCAGGAAACCGGAGGACCCGGAGACAATCCAGTAAATTGGACGGGCGATCCTACTCCCTGTCACGTACAACTGGGGAATGGAAACCCCGTCAGTCCTATAATTCTAGATACGCCATATGTAAAGTATTTATGGTTTTGGGGTTATGATGATTTATATTAGAGCCAAGGGTATTTTATATTGGGGAAAAAATCAATATTAATTTAGTAAGATAGATAGGCATTATCCAAAGGAGTGTAGCACTTTGGCATTTTAAAAGTATTATTGAAAGGGTCCATATGGGACTGACATTTCAAATCTAGGCAGAAATATCACATACAACTACGAAATTCAAGCGATTTAGTTTATCGAATCTAGGCAGAAATATCACATGTTTGTGACAATTTTCAATAGTTTCTGTTATTCAAAATACCATAAAACTACGAAATTCAAGCGATTTAGTTTATCGATACGCATTATTTCCATTGAAACCTGCGAGTAAACCAAATGCCAAGGTCACGAAAGCGACATGCAAGTCCAAGGCCAACCAACTGATACATTACAAAACGAATAATACGTAATAAACTTATTTATTTCATCTATCTACGACTGTCTGGCCATGTGCAGACATTCTTACAACGTATGAAACTCTCCTCGTTGGTATTGTAACGGTTAGTTCAACCTGTCAACAGTTTTTAGTTCCGAAGCGTTTATGCTTACGCCCTATGTGCCCTCGTCGGAATTGTGCACTGCGCGAGCGCAAGCAATTTTAACTAAAATCTATTAAAATTGCATTTGAAGTTACAATCGATCTTCGTGAAACGCATAAAATCTAAAATTTCATTTTGATTTTAGTTAAAATCTATTTTAGTGATTTTAGTTTAAGTTTTTGTGAAACAGGGCCCTGAATACCAAGAAGATATATTATTTTGTTTTAACACTATTGAGAGAGAAAGAGAGTAATATGGGTTTAACGCCCACTCAATACAAACAATGCCATTTCGGGACTAACATATGGAACAGTATTATTTCAAAAATCTGGTAGGTCGTATGGGGCTGTAGCATTAGGGTTAAACCAGCGGACCTTGCGAAACCCTACGTGAGTGGGAGAGTGCCCTTGCTCATCGTCCAGTACAAGTCTGGGGTCGAATTCTCGCCACGTGACTCGGTTACAGATCTTATGATATAAAGTCCATGCCCCCCCCCCCGGATTTTCTGTACATGGAGGTACTGTAGTAGCTTTGTGCAAACCATGTTGACAATAAAGAAGGCATAGAATATTCAGTCATCCGACCCCATATGACATGACGTGTTGAGTAATTTGTGAAAAAGAATCGAATTCACGTGGGGTTTGTGATTATGGTGGCTCTAATTTGATCAAAGCTCGAGGAAGTGTTTAGAGTTGCAGACAATTGACCTATTGTAATGGTCCAAATAAAAGCCACATAAATACTAGATCGTGATGGTGAATAATTCAAACATTGCCTTCAGTCTGAATAAAGACAATTGCCAATACCAGTGAATCGTGTAAACGTTATAATGAATATACTTAAATGTTACATTACGTAAACAAACGATTAAAGATACATTATGTAAGATTTAGATAACGGACTGGCCTTTCTTACTACAATTGTTCCGAAATAGATAATTCAAAAGTAATACTTTGAAAATTTCATATAAATTACTTTATCCTGAGCGAAGTTATCATTGTCTGAAGTTTTGACAAGATGTGTCATAGATTTTATATTATCGTAGCAACGTTACTACTTATTAATCGAGATTTATTAAATGACAATGGCATTTCAATTCGTTTAAATCTCCGCCATCCGATAAGCTAGAGAGTTGATTATAGACTTGATTATAAATGTCTAAATAATGATTTATATAAAATTTGAACCCCAAATAAATATCTGTAAAAGGCAGATTTGGTTCTTGCATAATGCATTGGTGGCTAAGTGAGTAAGACGCTGGCTCGTAAGTCTGGAGGTCGCATGTTCAATCCCGGTGTTGGCCGAAAAAGTTCTTAGGGATTTTCCGGCGTGGTATTTTCCTTGTCAGTGGTGCAGGACAGCTGTCTAGTCCTTGGGATGGGACGGAAAACCAAGGTCCCGTGTTCACATTCACGTGCAGGTAAAAGATCCTTGGCAGTTAAAATTCTATAAAAGAGTAGGCCGTAGCGCCGCTTTCCTGGCAAAAGTTTACTCATAGCACACCGCATGGCGTATACCTGTCTTCATTAGTCCAGTCGGAGCAGAACAGTAGGACGTTAAACCCCATTTCATTTCACGTATTGTATCTTTAATGCTTTAAATACCTGCAATCAATATTCGCTTACGTTACAGGTGTAATAGTTGATATGGATCAATGATGTGATGTGGGTGAAGAGTTGGGATAAGGGGGAGAGAAGGGTTGATGAGTAGCGTGCACAAAGTTTTCTCAGCGGGATTCGTGGATTGTCATTATGTTTATTTGAAAATATAACACATTTACTCGTACATAATGTGTCCTGGTCCCGTGATGCTCTCACGTAGTAACCTAACCTTACCAATTTATCAACAATACGTACAATTAAGATACAAATAGTCCCTCAAACTACGGGAGGCCATAAACATAGGTTCCCCGGGCTTACCATATCCACAGGCACTTTATCAGTCCACCACTTGTTGCCCTTGTGACGTATTTGTAGATATATGATCGAGGGATACTACAAAATTATTTTGGAATGGGTACCACATTACTTCTAATCTTGTATTTGTGTATATATTTTGTTGTTCAGAAACTATGTTTAGAAATTGTGTTGTATATATTTGGTACAGATAGTGTCATAATATATGTGATTCTACGCTATTTTGTTCATTATTTGATATTTTTTTTATGGAAAGGATGTTTAGATAGGGCTTTGTCTATATTTGTAAGATTTGGTATAGGCCTAGCCATATTATTATGTTACTAATAAATGCTATTTGGTAGATTTGGCACAGTCGGAGCCATATTATTATGTTTATAACATTTACTATTTTGTTGCTTTACTGTAGATTTGGTACATGCAGCGCCATTGTATTATTTTTTATTCTATTTTATAGATTTATTGTGGACAGCACCAGAATATTTACGTCTAGAAGGTAACCAGATTCATAAGGGATCTGAAAAGGGAGATGTATATAGTTTCGCTATAATAATGCAGGAAGTAGCATTAAGAAGTGACCCCTATAGTACAACAGGTTTAGCACCTAAAGGTCAGTTTTAATTTATTCAAGATTTTAGTTTCTGTGTGCCAAATTCTAGAGAAAGAAACCCAAATTAGGCCATTTTATTCTCTTTTAGGTTTTTCTTTTCATTTATCACTTCCATCTCTATTGACGAGAAATAACAGGTCAATACAGTACTTTTTTGTGTTGTTTGGTGTCGAAACACCAATCAACTAATCAATGTTATTATCTTTCACTAATGCCACTACACTTAGTAATTGTGCCACCATTATAGAGATAATCCAATAATATCGCCAGCACCTCTACCTAATTTTCTTCCCTTGGGTAAAAAGTAAAAGTCAAGAACTATTGATCAAAACCCAACAATTAGTAATTCTGTCATTACTTTGAGGATACGTATTACACTGTCCTCTATATTCAGAGGTACGCAAAAGACCAAAAGCTTCCCTGTCCACAGTTTTTATTTCATCACACACTTTACGCCATGATGGCACTAAAAATATATCGGACTGAAATGAAATTTTTGAAAAAGTTCATACATTTTTCGCCAGCCCCACTAGACTAGGATTAGGAATTTTTGATCAATATTAGAGTAAAAGCAGGCAACACATATTTATATAAGTAAATTCACTAAACGTTCCAACTCCGCTAATTTGATTATACTTGTCATCTTTTATGTTAAAATTGAATTATTTATATTTATAGAAGATGGGGTTGAATAGTCCACACCACGCTCGCCAGTCCTATTCATTTATGAATAAAATATTGTTCCTAACAAAAACAAAATAACTGTTCTATCATTGTAAAAATAATTACGTGACACCACCATAACCGTAAACTAAACATTGGTAGCTGCATTAGAACTGTAAAGATAATTCAGTCACCCCACCATAACCCCAAACTTCAAAATAACATTTGGTAACTGTTCTATCATAATGGAGATAATTTGGCGACACCACCATAACCTCAAAATAAACATACTTATTGTTCTACCATAGTAAATATAACCCAGTATCACCACAATAACCCAAACTAAACGTCAGTGATTGTACTATCAGCATGCATGGGGCTACCCCAGTTAGACAATCATAATCTTAAAATAAACGCGTTGAATCATAAGGTATGTCATTGAGTCAAGTTACGTAGTTTCGATTCCTCGCTCGTACGCGACATGACGCAGGGTCGCCTGTCCGGCCTCGTGGATTTTCACCGTGTCCTCCGTTTATCTCCCACTGCTAAAGACCCCTACGCGCAAGCGAATTATTGAAATAAAATTGAACCATTATGTTAGTCCCGAAATGACATAGTTTGTGTTGATGGTATGTTAAACCATATCCCCGCTCTCCCCCCCTCTCTCTCTCTCTCTCTAAATCATTTTGTTGACTAGTTTTGAGGGAAGTATGTGTAATATGAGAAACCGATAACACCTATGGGTCTTAACTCAATATTGTTATAAAACACATATTATAACATACGTATCCTCAATCTACTTAACACACATTTTTGCTTGTTTGTTAGACCAAAAGGTTAAATATTTTACGGAAATATGCTATTAGTAATCTATTTATCGTTAAGATTATAAACATAAGATCAACAGTCCACACAGTAATGTAATATAATGTTATAAAACATGTACCCAGGGGAGGTAACTGTTTCATATACTAAACAATGTCTGTTAATACAAGAAGACGGGTATTGTCTGATTCTGCTTTTTGTTGATTTCTATTACGTGCGTTGTTGAACTTTATTTGACGCCAATTAATTTGTTTTTCTGTACTATTTATTATTATATTAATATTCATATTTATTTAAACTTGAAAACATTTTATGTTTCTGTGACTACGACGTTTTCTGTATTGATCTAAAGTGATTAAACGCTAACAGGATAAAGTAAAACAATCATATTGTTATATGTACGTAACTGTCTGTTCGTTTGTATTAAGAACAATTGATAGATGTTAATTATAAACGAATATTGCTTCATCACTTGTACCAATTAATTGCCATGTTTCTGTAATCAGCCGACTGCTTGAAACGAATTTATGGCTAAAGATTGAATACGTGGGTTTGGCCATGTTGGTTGTGTCGGTATGGTAGACTTACAGACAGCGTTCGTGTTGTTGGTAGCCGATGCAGAGCTGACATGGATCGTGTGTCTATTCTACCGGGTGGGACATAAACCCAAGATCTAGCTGTGTAAAGCCCGAGAAAGTTAATCGGGATTTTCCGACGTAGTTTCCCCTGGCCAGTGGTGCAAGACGGAGCGTCTGACAAGGACAGCTGTCTAGTCGTTCAGATGGGACGAAAAGCATAAGTCCCGTAAAAGGTACATTGTTAGATGGAATTCAATATAAGAGTAAGCCATAGTTCCGCTGCCCGGGCAAACCTTCCCTCATTAGCACACTGTATGGCGCATGTGAGATGTCCGTCTTCATTAGCCCAGTCGGAGTAGAACTTTAAACCCCATTTAATTTCATTTCATTTATCCATGTAAACTTTGGGATACATTAAAATAACGCTCGGTTACCTTAAAAATACACTATGTAAGATTTAGATAAAGAGTTGGCCGTTCTTGCTATAATAAATCGTAAATAGATAATTTAAAATTAATATATTGAAAATTTTATTCAAATTACTTTATTCGGAGCGACGTTATCACTGTTTGAAGTTTTGACATATAATGTTTATTATCGTATCATCGTTACTTGTTAATCGAGAACTCTTCCGATGGCCTAGAGAGTTGATTATAAGCATGTTATGTGAATAAATATCTAGATAATAATATAGCATTTGAAGCCAAAATAAAAACCTGTAATAGGCAGATTTATCTCTTACATAATGCATCTTTAAATGGAGGTCTATTTGGTTTAAACAAGTTATCTTGCAATGCATATTAGATAGTTCCAATTCAAGTTTAATAGTTTGATAATGTCAATCTAATTAAAATATAGATCTATATTTCGTTTCGTTTTTTATACTTTCGATGGCCTACACTACATGTAGATATAACAAGTTATAGTGGGAGTTCACGTTCTATGACGTCAGGTACCAAGTAAGCGCAATTTGACCCGATTACGTCAGTCATTCGATTAACCAATTAGCGACCGACATGTATTTTTTATCTATTTTTGCTTTGTTTTGATTTCTATTGCCGCTAATGTCTACCCACAGTTCCGCGCAAAAAAGGTCAAACGCTCGATTCGACAAACCATTTGATTGGCTGTCCCCTCATTTCAAGCAGAACACGAGTTAAATGACAACGCTTCCAGATCCAAGTGTAGTAAAGACAAGTAAAATCGAAATTTTGAACTATAAAAACGAAACGAAATTGGATCTGTGTTTTAATCAGATTGTGATAATGTTAACTGTTTATTATTTTCAGAAATTTTTAGAAAGTTGAAGAAACCGCCACCTTTAATCCGTCCATCCGTGTCCCCTCAATTCGCGCCTCCACCATATATACAACTAATGAAACAATGTTGGTCTGAAGCACCTGATATGAGACCTGGAGTGGAAGAAATTTACGACCAGTTTAAGAAGATAACCAGCGGGAAGTGAGTTCTATTTTATTTATTCCGCCTTGTTTTATCTCTTATGTCCTAGTGGAAGGAAATACAATGAAATTGGTTTAACGTCCCACTGTTCCGAATTGGCCCATCATCTGCTTCAGTGAATACTCATTTATATGATGCATAGGTTGTCGGTGGTTCCGAGCGGAGGGATTTGGAGGTGTGACACTCGTAAGACAGTGGAAATATGAGTAAACATCAACGTTGCTATCTGGTCGTAATTTCTCTCATAGCACACTACTACACGTCTTCATTTAACTGGTTGTAACAGAAATGAAATGGGGTTTAACGTCCTACTGTTCTGCTCCTAACCTGGGCTAATGAAGACGGGCATACGCCATACAGTGTGCTATGAGGGAAATTTTGCCCGGGCAGCGGCACTATCGCCTACTCTTATATCGAATTCCAACTGCCAAGGGATCTTTTACATGCATTCCAATGTATACACAGGACCTCGGTTTTTCGTCTCATGCGAAGGACTAGACATCTGTCCTTGTCAGGCCCTCCGTCCTGTATCACTGACAAGGGGGAACCACGCCGGAAAATCTGGATGAACTTTCTCGGCCAATGCAGGGATCGAACACCCGACCTCCAGGCTAGCGAGCCAGCGCCTTACCCACGTAGCCACGTGATCCCCTGGTTGTAACAGAAGATGTTTTATAAGATGTTGCAGGAAAATATAATTATATATCAATTTCTGTTCATACTCGACTAAATATGTATTGTTTATAGGCGAATCTGTCAGATGTTAATGCTTATTAATTTATAATATCATCATTTTATTTCTTCAAGCAAAATGTCTCCGGTTAGTTATAGATTTTGTACCTAAAGCTACAAATTAACTGGACACTTAAACCCACTAATTTAGCCAATATACAGATTTCACTAAGTAGCCCGATACGGAACCATAGTCTCTAAATTAGAGACGCAACAAACGTCGACCGGTCATTATCTGCATCCGTGGTGCTAATTAAACCAATAATCAATAATAAGTTCTGGCGATTAGTCGACATTTGGTGGATTTAACTTGGAGTAGAGTGTATTTCTATGTGTGGATGGCCACTTATAGAAGATTTAGTCACCCTTTTCATAGCCAAAAGGCTCTGGAAATATGACCTTTAAAGGCCCACCCGTTGTTGTTTGTGGTTGTAGGACTGCGCGAGTTAATGCTCACGTATTCGGTTTTAAATCCATAACATGTGGGGGTAATCTAATTATAATATAGCAAGAAATATAATGAAATGAAATGAATTGAACGTCCTACTGTTCTGCTCTGACTGCGCTAGTGAAGACGGGTATACGTCATACAGTGTGCTATGAGGAAAATTTAGCCCTGACAGCGACACTACGGCCTACTCTTATATCGAATTCCAACTGCCACGAGATATTTTACGTGCACGCCAATGTGTACACGGGACTTGGTTTCTCGTCCCATCCGTCCGACTATGTCAAGAAATATATTATACTTGTTTTATTTTCTGGTGAATTAAAAGATCAAATGTAGTTTTATGTGATAACCCATGTACGAAATGGCTGTCATGTCTACTTCCATAGTCATAAACTAAAACGTAATTTCATTTCTTTTTTGGAACTTTAATGAACAGTTTATCAACGTATTTAAGGTCGACGTGGTTTACAGCTATCACAACAACCATTAACATCACTTCGCGTTGGTTGTTTACGCCAGTTAATCCCAATATCACAAAGTATTGTTGGGCCTACTTTAATACTGGTGGAGTGAACCATATTCATAACGCATACAATCTTCCGCCGCTATCTGTACAACAAAACACGACACTATATATTGGCCCATGTATGCACGATTCAGCCGAGGGAGTAACCTTTACCTATATAGTGAGAAGAAGATAATCTATCTGGCTGTTCATACCCCATGGACATGGCTATTTGGAAAAAGAATACGTATCTGGAATCCCGATCTATTCAACTATCCCTTTGATCGGTGCATATACCACCTGATACCACCTCTGCACCTGGTTCACATAGCTAACAGATCTGGAGTAAAACAACTGAGCTGGTTACCATGCTACTGGCCATTAACCTCCACGGAACAAATTAATTTCGGTTTGTTAAACCCATGTTCTGAACATTTACCCGTATCTAGTGACGTGTGTTGTTTCTAGAACACCCAGTGGACTACTACATCACATTTGCTTGTAGTTGCAACTTTGTATATAAAACTGTGTTCAATCGATATTACGTCGTCAGAGGTCCTCTAGCTGGCCTTTACTTATGTCTCTGGAGAATTGAATATTTTGTGTGAAAGACTTGAAGTGATTCTATTGACTATCCAGACTAGCTAATCGCAGCGTAAATTGGTTCTGCTTCAACCAGACAGAAGCTCGTAGGCTACACTTTTCTCTCAACGCGTTCTGGTTTCTAAAACTATTCAATAGCCTATATTTATGTCGGCCTCTTACTTAATGTTCCTAAAGAATCTTCGTCTTAGAAAATGTTCTCAGTCAAAACGCCATCTGATTTGAATGTATAGATAATTTGAGATTCATGAAAGATTTCAAAGGAACTAAAAAAAGAAATCTCTCGTCAAGTATTTCGCGTTCCAAAGAAAATCAACTGGTTAAATGACAAGGGTGTTGACCTACAGGAGAAGATCACGGTGCAGACCAGTCAACTATTGCGAGGGATAGTTTAAAATAGACAATGATTTGGTAATAGATTTCCAAAACCGCGTAAATTAGCACTTCCACGGGTAATTAAGAATTATTAAATTTAACTACAATCACGTATTCTAATTTAACTACAAAACAATAGTGTTCATTGTATGAATATTTAGTTTACATGGGTAATGAGTATGGAATAAACACACATAAACATATAAAATTTACTTATATTTAAAACATTGCATACTAAAAGCAATGGTAAATATATGGATTTGCATTATTGCCTTTGAGATAAAATTTCAACTCAACCACTACAAAAAGGAAGGGGATATATATGTTTTAACGTCTCCGTGACAAAACAATATGGCCCCTTTGAGACTAGCATGCTAACAGTGAATACGTGCTAACGGGGTCTGGGTTTGTCAGACAGTGATTTTGCTACCGCTACCTAACGACCATTCATAGGTACCAATTCCCTCTTCCCGCCATAATGCAGCCACTATTATCACATACAGACTATGACAATGGAAGTCGTTCATATTCCACATTCTGAAACTACGTCACATGTTATGACACATTGACACTTTACGCGTATATCCGCCGTAATGGTCTTTTATGATACACACGGTACAGCGGAAACTACCAAGATATCTCTCGTGTTTAAAAGTACATGTACATTACGGAAACCACCGAGATATCGTAGTACGTGTACCTAGTTACCTATGGTGATCGAATGTTTAACATTGATGCCCCAACTCTGTGGAATGACAGGCACTTGAACAGTTCCATCAAAAGTGCCAAAACATTACTTGACTTCGGGAAAAACTTAAAAACAAGCGTATCCGGAGTGACATTTAGAAGCGCTTAGAGCATGGACTAGGCGCTATATAAATAACTTCATTATTATTATTACATCACGGAAACCACCGAGATATCCTTGGTGTTTATAAGTATATCAACATCACGTGTATATAACATGTTGTATATTTTCAGGAAAGCTAATATAGTGGACACCATGTTTCGAATGTTAGAAAAATACTCCAACGATTTAGAAGAAATTGTCAATGATAGAACGGTTCAGTTGGAAGAAGAAAAAAAGAAAACAGATCAGCTATTGTCTAGAATGTTACCTCCGTAAGTTTTACCATATACAACCAAAGTAGCACCAATTTGCAAACTCAGTCGGAACAACACACAATCTGTCTTACATTGTGTTTTATATCGCATAGATGGTGATTTTAATTTTGTTGTGACAGATATCAAAACTATGTTAGATACGTCCTCCTCCAATGTTAAATTATAACCAGAGTTGTTTTTAACAGTCGACAGTTTTAAGACCAAACCGAATTGATACATGTACTCTGCAACCAACTCTTATCTTTGGCAAATTTCACTGATAGTCATTGGTTATTTGAAGCAAAAGTTTTCTAGTTGTGTGTTGTTATTTTGGGGCTTAACTCGTCCGCTTCTATCTAAGTTGGTATCACAGACTAGCCTTTCTTTGGAAATCTGCCGCCTCCATTTCTGGGTTTAATTCGCTGGCGTTTTAATCTCGCCAGGTGTACCACAATACTAGTTTATCTCATGGATGCTTATCTGACTGCTTTCTATATATTTTCTATGAACAGGGCTGTAGCGGAATATTTAAAAAGCGGTAAACCAGTAGAAGCTGAAACGTTTGCCGAAGTAACGATATATTTTAGTGATATCGTAGGATTTACGACTATATCAGCTATGAGTACACCCATGCAAGTTGTTGATCTACTAAACGATCTTTATACGATGTTTGATGCTACGATTGAACAATACGATGTATATAAGGTAATATGCTGTCTGTTGAACAATACTATGTTTATAGGGTAATGTGCTATATATTAAACAGTACGATGTTTATAGGATAATGTGCTATATATTGAACAATACGATGTTTCTAGGGTAATGTGCTATATATTGAACAATACGATGTTTATAGGGTAATGTGCTGTCTAATGGAATTGGTCAGCGTGGCTTCCTCTTTGTCATTCGGATGCTACGAAACACCGAGTAGGCCGTAGAACACTGGATAAATTATACCCGCCTTCATAATCCCCGTTGATGTAAATAATTAGGGCATTAAACCGCATTTCATTTCATTTTACGTATTCGTGTTGGATGACTTCCCCTCGTGCTTTAGTTCAACTACTCGTCCATGTGCCTACATAATATGTAGTTCCGATTCACTCAACGTTATATAGGACTGGCAAACACATGGCAAATGGCAAATGTACGTGTCTGTACCAATAAGAAAGACGATAATTTTGGGATTAAATTCACTAACACGTATGTTTGTTTTCCTTGACAACTTTGAATGGAAATGGGATGCCCTCTGATTTCAGTGTGTATGGCATTGGGCAGGTTGAGAGAATCTAAATATATTTGTTATTAACTAGGTTGAGACTATTGGTGATGCCTATATGGTAGTAAGTGGTCTACCTACGAGAATTGGGTATAAACATGCAGGGGAGATAAGCACCATGGCATTAGATCTCCTCAGTCAGTGTGGTACGTTTAAAATACGTCATATGCCGGATGTGCCTCTTCGTCTTCGAATCGGTCTGCATACAGGTAAATATACTTTAGAGGACTTCATATAGTTAATGCTGTTTAGTTTATTTTCATCAGTATTGTATTTAAATTTAGAATTTCATATTTTTAAGTTATATTTTTAAAATTTATTAAAATAAAGCCTTAAATAGATGGTATCTATAAACAGTCCCACCTCGTTAAATAATAATCCTATTAATCCTATAATTCACTATTGCCAGTTGAGAAATTGGCAAAAATATCATTTTCCACTTCAAATTCAAACGTTTGAAGATAGTTACTCCATGGGGGGAATAGGAAAACAAGGGAGGTTATTATGTTATTATTTCCTGTGTCAATGATTTTTAAGTGTGGGAAATAATGCCTATGATCGTATAATAGTGAGTTGATAACCTATTAAGCAAAAGACATAGAAATAATTATGTTTTAACTTTCTTAGAAAATATGAAATTCTCGCTTTAATTTATTTTCAGCAGCAATTTGATACATTTATAAATTTATTTTATGGATTAATGTATTAAATTGATAAATGTATTTGCTGGAATAGTTTGATTAATGTATTTAATATTGTTTTACGGAATAAATTTGATGAATATATTTAATGTATCGATTTGATAAATTTATTTAATGAATTAATTTCTTAGATTTGTTTAATGTATTAATTTGATAGATTTTTTTTATTCTAATTTCATATAGGATCGTGTGTTGCGGGTGTTGTTGGGTTGACTATGCCTCGATATTGTTTATTTGGAGACACTGTCAATACAGCATCAAGAATGGAATCCACTGGATCAGGTAATACAATCATAGTCTATCTTGTTTGTTACTTATATAGCTAAAATAGCACCTGTAAATAGAGTCCATCTGCCAGTTAGTCTGTTTCGTCGTATGTGTATATCTAATGAGGAAAGTAGTCTTAAATGGTATTCTGAGTAATATGACACAGTCGCTACTGAATCGAATTGGGCGTGGTTCAATACAGTCGTTACCTGGGTGTGGGGTGTGGTGTAACAGTCGTTAATAAATGGAATTCGGTGTTGTTTAAGAGTCATTAATAACTGGAAAATGAAATGAAATGGGGTTTAACGTTCTGAAGACGGGTATAAGCCACACAGTGTGCTATGAAGGAAATTTTGCCCGGACAGCGGCACCACGGCTTATGGACAACTATAAAGGGATCTTTTACGTACACGCAATCCGAACGACGAGACAGCTGTCCTTTTCAGGCCCTTCTCTCTGCATCACTGACAAGGGGAACCACGCCGGAAAATCTGGACGAACTTTCTCGGCAAATGCAGGGATCGAACACCCGACCTCCAGGCTAGCGAGCCAACGTTTTACCCACTTAACCACCATGACCCCATAATTAATGACTCTAATGGCGGTGTGGTATAAAAGTCGTTAATAACTGAAATGGCGGTGTGGTATAACAGTCGTTAATGACTGAAATGGCGGTGTGGTTAAACAGTCGTTACTGAATGGAATGGGATGTGTTTTAATACAGTTGTTAATGAATTAAATGGGGTGTGATTTAACAATCGTTACTGAATAGAATGGGGTGTGGTTTAATACAATCGTTAATGAATGGAATAGGGTGTGGTTTAACAGTCGTTACTGAAGGGAATGGGGTGTGGTTTAACAGTCTTTAATGAATGGAATTGGGTGTGGTTTAACAGTTGTTACTGAATGGATTGGGGGGGGGGGGGTAACAGTCGTTGATGTGGTTTAACACAGTCGTTAATAAATGTGGTTTAAGGCAGTCGTTAATAAATGGAATAGGGTGTGGTTTAACACAGTCGTTAATGAATGGAATGGTGTGACCTACCCCACTGACAATGGAGGGGGGGGGGACCATGCCGGAAAATTCCGATGGACTTTCTCCGCCAACACATGGATCGAACACGGGACCTCTAGGTTAGCGACCCAACGTACTATTGACTGAACCACCGTGACTCCTGCCAAGTACTATACTATTACATACCTGGATTGATTTCTTGATTTTTTTTATTCTTAGCATTTCGAATTCATGTTAGTGAAGAGACAAAGGAGGTGTTATATGTATTGGGTGGATATAAATTGGAATTCAGAGGAATGACAGATTTAAAGGTAAAACAACATTTACAAATTACAAACTTTCATAAACTATAGATTGTGGAACATTCGAACCACAAGTCATGCTCTCTCTAGTTAAAGATGCGCCATGTTACTTACAGAGCTGACCGTTCTTGCTATCATCTTTCAAAAAATTCCAGTCCATTACTTTATTCTGGACGAAGTTACAAGTGTTTGAAGTTTTAGCAAGATATAGAGTAAATAATCTCGATTGTCAGGTACCATTGATGTGATAATAAAAAAATCTCGATTATCCATTTTAACATTAAATTATACAAGGGCCAACGTGTACACATTGGTGTGCACGTAAAGATCCCTTGAGAGTTAGAATTCGAAATAATAGTAAGTCATAGCGCCGCTGTCCAGACAAAATTTAACCCAGTCGGAGCAGGACGTTAAACCCCATTTCATTTCATTCTTATTGAATGCACCAGAGTATCTGTCGACTTCCAATCCCTAGCCACTAAAATTAATCACCTAGTATGGTGCTTATGTCGGGTTAAATTAAGTTGAAAACACAAATTATAAGCAATCCCGAATTTCATTGCCCAGTTAATAAAAAGGTGTCACTAGTAAGCTTTTCGGAAAGTTAGGAAATTTGTAAAGATTTTAATTGTTTGATAAAAGTATATTGAGTTCATTTGTATTTTTTCAGGGAAAGGGAAAACGTCCAACCTATTGGTTGACTGGAAAAGAAGGATTTACGAAGCCCCTCCCTGATCCCCCAGATCTAAGGTTAGTATATTGTATATTGGCTAGCCCAGTGCAATATTGTTGTTGTATATTGTCTAGCCCCTTGAAATTTTACTATTGTTTATTGGCTAGCTCCTTGCAATATTGTTAGCCTCGTGCGATATTATTGTTGTATGTTGGCTAGCCGCGTGCAATATTACTGTAGTATATCCCGTGCAATGTTGCTGATGCATATTAGCTAGCCCCGTGCAATATTGCTAACCCCATGTAATATAATTGTTGCATATTGGCTAACCCGGTGCAATATTACAATTGGATATTTGCTAGCTCCGTGCAATATTGTTGTTGTATATTGGCCAGCCTGTGCAATATTACAATTATTGTATATTCGCTAGCCCGGAACAATACTACTGGTGTATATTGGCTATACCCATGCAATATTGTTGTTGTATATTAGCCTGTAAAAAAAAATTTAATATCTATCTAAGGAAAACTACAACGTATACATTCCGACATTTAGTTCGATTAGGTCCAGTACAGCAACGCATTGTATTTTCATACACTCTTTTATTTTATAAAAAAAGAATAAATTAGACATTTAAATAATTTTTTTTACCCATTTTGTTATTCCAGTGCGGATAGCCACGGGTAAGCGTTTATTATTTTGCTTTATTAGGATTATTATTATTTATGTTTTATTAGCATTACAGGTATTTAAATGTCCGTCCAATATTACTCATAAATACTGAAAACTTTACATACTAAACGAAGTATAATGCAAAATTGAAATTAACGTCCTGCTGCTGTGCAATTTTGTCGGGATAGCGGGACTACTTCCTACTCTTATATCGAATTCAAACAGTCAAAGTATTTTTGGAGCACATCAACGTATACACGGTACATCCGATGGACTAGACGCTTTCCTTGCCAGGCCATGAATTAAATGCGTTATGTTTTATTTATGTTACCTTGTAGGCTAGGTCTTAATGGGTACACACTTTACATTTGTCATCTAATTATCTAGTCTAAAAGCTTGAATTATATCCAAATAGTGTTTGTGTGTGTGTGGCAGGGAGGAGGTGCGGTCAAACTTTTTAACGCGTGGGCTTTAGATTATGAGGCCTGTTTTCGATTCTCACTTGAAAAGTAATACGGTCGCCTTTCCAATCGTATTTCCCTCAGGACCTTCGGTTTCCTTCTAGAGCTAAAGACCCCGACGCACAATCGAATTATTGAAATAAAATTGAACCACATGGTAGCCCCTAAATGACCTAGTTTGTGTCGAGCGGAAGTTTACCCCCCCCCACCTTCGCTCTCCCTCTCTCTCTCTCTCACCACCAAGTGTGTCTAGCATTATTTATATCAAAAACCTTTTGATTGTTCTGTTTATGTTTTCAGTCTTGCCTCTGTTCTGTCATCAGATAGTTTGTCCACCATGTTTAATAACGACACGACACTTCCGGCCATGGACAGACCCGAACCAATCCTTGAGTCTAACGAGGAGGAGGCGAATAACTCCTTCAGAATAAGTCCAGATCAGGAACAAACGTCGGTTAACTTTGAGAACAAATCCGATAAGGAGGAAACGTCGAGCTCAAAAGACAAAAGCAACACGAACACTCCAAAGAAATCGTCTGCAGTTTCAACAAAGGCTAGTTCCCCGAAACCTGAAACAAAGAACATAACAAAACGACCAAATACACCAAAGTCCCGACCTAAAAGTTCCGATCTAAAAAACTCCACGGTATCAGAAATACCACTAAAGAACATAGTGAAAGCGGAAGTAACCGTTGAAAAACGACCAACAGAAAAACAGACAGATCAAAACGATAAACTGGTCAATGATCGCTCGATGAAACACAAAAGTCCCAATAAAGTCAAAAGTGAACATTCGAGTAGTGATACGTCTATAGCAAAGACAGCAGCTAGTGATAGAAGTAGTTCCAGTACCCAAAGCCTTTCTGATTTAACGAAAAATAACACGAATAATAATAATAATAATAATAACAATGCTCAATTAAATGCCCCCGCCTCAATCTCCTCAACAAACTCTTATCCTAACATTCCAAAAACTGATAAATCCAGACCAAGAACGCCCACAAACACGGGTGGTGAAAAGGCTTCAACCGAGCCCCGTAAATTGGAAATAGTTTGTGGAAAAACTGGACCACATGAGGACATGAAAAATGGCAAAAGTTGCCCCGAGATGCAGCCGAATCATGTGGATGATGTTATTAAATCTAACCCTAAACCACAAAATAGTCCTGGAAAACATTCTGTAAAACATGCTGTTAAACATGATATTAAAAACACATCTGATGACGTCATTGTTAACAGCGGTGAGGTTGTGAACAAAAGCTGTGACGCAGTACAAAAAAATGATGAGGATTGTGCGGAACAGCGCTGTAGTGACATAACTGTAGTTAGTGTATTATCAGCCTCGGATATTGATATCAATGCGGATAAATTAGAAAAAAGTCCAAATGATATCAAGTTAAAGCAACAACAAAAGAAAATTGATTCTTCCCGACTACCACCGATAACACAACTTTAACCCGTTTAGCCGTGTTTGGTTGCTGCGAATCTGGTTCTAATTTTTTTCAAGATACATAATCCATTCCGTATATTTCCTAAAGAATTCTAAATGCTAATATTATGTTACCTGTTAACACAGTCGGAGAAGCAGGATGATGTTATGTGTAAATCTTGATATTATTTTGAAGATACAAAATAACGTGTCCTTTGTCGTATCTTCTAAGATACATCGGGATTTAGATAACAAATAGGTGTAGGATTCGCTGCAATCAAACACGCCCTTTTACAAATATAAATAATTAGAAATTGTTGCTATGTATTATAATTATAAATAATCCGATTTGTCCTCCTCTTACACAAAAATCATCCACGAGGCAAAATAAAATCCCGATTTGTTGCTTTAATCTTGTAGAACAAATCAATTTAAGAATTCATTTTGATATGCAAAGGTCGGGTTAAATTGTACAGTAGACCATGGGCATGTGATTGTAATTTGACCAAAATCCGCGAGAGCAATATATATGTATTAAGGATTTAAGCAGACAGTGCAACTTGATGTTTTGAGTTTAGCACGTTGATTAACCTTATTCTTGTTTGTCTTTGTATTTTACTTAATTGTTATTTCCTTCGAGGTTTTACTGAATTACTTTGTCAATAATATAAGAAAATATAAACTATTTATTGATCAAGTTTTGTTATCTTGTCAACATAATTTCCTCAAACGAAAGAGACGTTGATCGAGACATAGTATACAATATTACCTGTGGCTAAAATGAATAAATACAGATTCAATCTTTTTATTTAGAAATAACCAACCAATGTTAGAATCTGAAATAAAGCAGATAAAGACGCACGTTAATTAAAAAAAAATCTTTGGGTATATTTAAAGGGGAATAACTCCAGTTTTTGGTGCTTTGCAATAAAAAGTGTGCGACTGGATTGACTAACGTCATTAACTTTCTAGTTTGTGATCAGTTCGTGTATCTTGTATTTGCCTCTCTAAGTCATGATTTACATTGTATATGTATGTGATTCACGAAGTTTTCCATCGTTGTATCAATATCCTTACCTTGTTTATAAATCAGTGCCTTTAGTAATATAGTAATGTGACCGGGTAACCTAATCTATTACATTATCTTTAATATCCAGACCACCCGTTGAATATGTTAGTACATGTCCCACACTGTTTAAATGTAGGGCGCTTGTTAATATACCGAAAACTCTGCAATTCGATGATGCTTTCAGACGATTCCCAAATTCAAAGCCATAAAGTCCCTCTATTCCACAATTATATGCTAGTCTTTTTTGTTTTGTTTTATTTTTATTGTCTATAATATATGAAAAAATATACTAATCTTCTAAAGTTAGTGTGATTACCTTCTATTCCATGTAAATATAGATTATTATTATTGTTATTTATTGTTAGTAAATTGTTGATAATCGTGGTAATTGTGATAAACTGGTCTTTCTTCATAACCATATCTCCTCAAACTCATTATAGATAAATTATCTTGCACGTAAAGTCTCGTCGCTTCATATTTGCGCAATAGGAATCCCGAGCAAACTACAATATTGTGACAGTTGAATCTCTAAATGTCCAAAAATAGTCCAATTCTCTTCGGTAACAATCTCATTAAAACACATATCCTATTTCGTTTCGTCTTTTATAGTTCAAAATTTCGTTTAACTTGTCTTTACTATGTATATAGTGTCTTGTTATATTTTCACATCTTATCATTGCTTGATAATGACTAGAGAAGCCTAGTCGAAACGTCGCTTAATAACAGTAATTGTATTCCATAGAATGGTTACCTGTATATTCCAGTTCAATTACTAAATGCCATTGAAAGAATTTGTCTTTACTACACTAGGATCTAGAAGAGTTGTTATATAACCCGCGTTCTGGCTGCTGTGAGCGGTTAGCAATAAAAAACGGTCTGTTGCGGCGAGTTTTTGGCGTGCCATGCAGGGAACTTTGGCTATCCTTCTAGAAACGTCAACGCTGATTGCTTAATCAAATGTATGACGTCATAGGACCATAACTGCTCGTATGACCCCGATGTGACCTCCCACTAAAACTGGTCCGATCTTCATGTAGTAGAGGTCATCGTAGCCTAAGTATGAAAAAAAAACGAAGCGATATATAGATCTGTATTTTAATCAGATTGGTTCTGTAATTACAAAGATAATGTTGAACTCGCTATGTAATAAGCCCGCTGCCATAGTGGATAGGCCTATTTTAAATCCAGTTGAATCCAAGCCGGAAGATTATCTAAATGTTTATCAATCAATCTACATATTACATAGTACGGTGGATTTAGCCTTGAGAAATTTGATATTTTAGCGTACAATGCAAATGACGCATCGATATAAAGATTATTATACAATCAAGTCAACCATTCCCGTTTTTCAGACACCTGATAGTAGAATAAACAATTCATGAAGAAACGTCATTGCTAAACTCTTCAATTTAAGTAAGATGAAAGATGTTACCGGAGTTTGATACCTGACGATTGTTTTTATTTTCTTGTGTTTTCGTTTTTCGTGTTACATTATTTTAATGGGCTCCAAATGCAACGAATGTGATAATTATAAATGAATTGTTAATTTCGTAAGCACCTGATATAATTCCTTATATACCACCATTTATATTAAATAGCATAATGTATGAGTATCTGTTTTAGATATACCAGTGTTGACAATTTATTAGAGTTTAAATGAGACGTTATGTAGAAATGAAATCAAATATTGTGAATGAGTCACTGGTAATTGTATCATGAATTGTGTATAATTTACAAGTTTTTTTTATATCACGTAATGTGCATACTTTACTGATAATTATATAAAATATTGTGTATAATTTACTACTAGTAATTATTATTCACTTTTGATTATATCAAGTAATATGTATAATTCATTAGTAATTGTACTTCATTTGTGGGTATACTAAGTATTTTGTATAATTTACTAGTGATTATAGCAGGTAGTGTGTATGATTAAATTCAGTATTGGACATAATTTACTAATGATTGTACCAAATATAGTGTATATTTTCTAGTGCTTATAATTGTGTATAATTGACTAGTGGGTATATCAAATATTGTATATTATTTATATCAAGTAATGTGTGTAATTTACTATTAATTATATCAAGTATTGTGCATACTTCAATAGTATGTATATCACAAATTGTGTATTCTTTACCATTGATTATAATTTAGTGATTATATCAAGTATATATTTGTATAATTTACTAATTATTATATCAAATATCGTGCATAATTCATCAAGTAATGTGTATAGTTCACTACTAATTTTATTATTTAGTATCTTAACTTATATATATAATAGTGACCAAAGATATATTTTAATCTTCCTTTTAATTGTAATTATATATATTGTTTATTTATGTATTTATGTATTTATTGTTATTATTATTATTATTTAAAGGAGCGAAGTCTCTAACTCAATATTATCCAAAATCTTCAACATTGAAAACACGATTTATTTGTCAAATTAAATCAACATTCATGTTGTGATCTTACCGGAAAAAGATGGGCTTTTGATATCCAATATTTAAGACAAAATAAACATTTTACCATTGGTACACGAATCGTGTACCATAATGCGCTTCAGCCCCAGATGTATCAAGAGACTCGAGGGACGAGGCTAGACACATTGCACCAAATCAAACGGCGTATGTAGACTGGAATAACCAGACGCTAGAAATTTGCACTCGCTTGAGACAGCTGGCTTATTTCGCCAAACATAACCGATTTGAAATTGGAGTAAAAACGGAAACCATTGAATGTAAATCAGTTTATATACATTCATATTACAGTATTATATGCGTTGCGACCCACTTTTGTCAATTTCTAGGTCCCAAATGTTAGCGATTTAGCTCCTTTAATATATATCACAGATGTCTTTATATTAGTTTCAACACCAATTCCAGTTTTTAAATGTTTACGTAATGTATGCTTTATGGTGTGTATTGTCCTAGATTAGACAATATATTTATTAAAGATGCATTATGGAAGATAAAGATAAAGAACGGACAGCTTTCGCTATAATAGTGTAAAATCAGATAATGTAAAAGGAATATATTGAAAGTTTCAGTCGAATTAATTCATTCTGAGCGAAGTTATGACTGAAGAATAGCATAGTCTCGATTATTATTGCTACCGTTGTTGCGATAATAAACTAAGTCTCGGTAATTCATTTTTAAAATACATTATCAATAAATGGCGATCATGTCAACTCATTCAAATCACAACCATCCGATGGTATTGCGATTTGATTATAGGCTTGAATAAATGTCTCATTAATAAACTATATGATATCTGAGGCCAAAAGAAAGATCTGCATTGGCACTATCACAGTTAACATAGAATTCGTTAACATGCACCGTCTTCATTAGCCCATTTTCATTAATCCGTGGGGGTTGGATGGCCGAATGGTTAGCGCATATGCGTTGCATCATTAGGTCTGTCATTGAGTCAACTGGCGTGGTTTCGATTCTGCGGTTGTACGTGACAAGAAGTAGGGTCGACTGTCCATCCTCGTGGGTTTTTCCCGGGTCTTTCGGTTTCCTCCCACCGCTAAAGACCCCTACGCGCAAGCGAGTTATTGAAATAAAATTGAACCATATCTTAGTCCCGAAATGACATAGTTTGTGTCGAATGGACGTTAATCCCCCCCTCTCTCTCTCTCTCTCCCTCTTTCTCTCTCTCTCCCCTCTCCCCTCTCTCTCTCTCTCTCGTTAATCCGCAGTTAGTCGAAATAAACAAATATGACGTCGACACGGGTAATCAATTCTTATACTTAAATAACTGGTCGGCAGTGAAAATAGTATACGAGCACACACTATGTCAGCATGCCATTGGCAGTAATTTAGTCCAACAATATGGATTGAGGTCGCTGTCTCCTAGTCCACACTTGGATGCTTTTGTTGTTATACTACTATGCTGCTAGGCTTATTGTTCACCTGGCGGAGCAAAGTCACCCCACTACCTTCCTTCGTTTATCTTCATCATATTATCTTTTACTTCTATAACCCAGGTCTAAGTCTTTACTACACTTAATGGTGCTTGTCGTGTATAAGACTGGCTATATAAAATATACTTTTTCAAAAACATCAGATATCACGTCTCGTTAGCTAGCAAATAGTAACTGTGTATTTGATGCTTAAATCGTATGGTATTGAAGTAGGGAGAATCCTAATTTTCAAATGGCTCAAAATGTTGCAAACTCGTCGTTTCTGATTCTATACTGCATGTATGTATTTGTTGGAAGAGAAATGTAAGTGAAACATTGAATATATGAAATAAATATAAATTTCTCACCGTATTACAATATATTTTGATACTATTAATAGATGTCACGTGTAAGATAATGTAATATACTGTTGTAATGTTGATTCATGTACCATAAACAAACTTCAGATATTGATTAATTTTCATATGTTTTGCACAATAAAATTACCAATATTAAAGAATACGCTTGTGATATTATGTTTAAACGGGGAGTTGGGTGATCGAATGGTATTATCGTTCAAATGGAACGAAACACCGAGGTACACATTCGAGTTTATACATTGGAGTGCCTGTAAAAGAACCAACCATTGGCAGTTGGAATTTGAAATAAGAGTAGGCTGTACCGGCGCTGTCCGTCCAAAAATGCCCTCATATATCTGTCTTCATTATTAGCCCAGTCGGTGCGGAAAATTAGAACATCAAACTCCAGTTCTATTTCATTTCATGTATGTCATTGGGTCAAGTGGCGTAGTTTGGATTCCCCGCTCGTACGTGACAAGCAGTAAGGTCGCTTGTCCAAACTCGTAGGCTTGCTCCGGGTCCTCCGGTTTCATCCCACTGCCCAAGACGTAAACGTAGGCCAATTATTGAAATGAAATTCAACCATATGTTAGTCTCGAAATAAACTATTTATTGTCGAGTGCACGTTAAATCCCATATCAGATGAAACAAAAGAACTCTGACCAGCAGCCATAGTTTCAATCAGCAGAGATGAAATTTGCTATTATGAGGTCATGTATCAGGATTCGATTCTTTTCTCTACTAGTCTTAGCCCCACGTCATCGCTTGTGTGCCGCAATGCATTGTTGGCTTAACATGGGGTCAACTTCCCCATTGTTTACCTCTGGGACAAACACGTATGGTTTAACAATGCCGATAGTGAATTGTTCTGTAATGCGTTTTATATTATTTAGATCTCCTATAATTATGTTTAACCCTTGTGGGTGCACGTTGTGAGAATCACACAGCATCTGTCATGGGGTCCATAATATATATGGACCCCAGTTATAATTCAAAGTTTTTACGTACAGATATATTTGAATTAAAAGGCAGTGGTTTGGATTTTGTTTGCATTCATATTGACATCTGAAAAGAGAGAGAGAGAGAAATGGGGTTTAACGTCCACTCGACACAAACTAGGTCATTTCGGGACTAACATATGGTTTAATTTTATTTCAATAATTCGCTTGCGCGTAGGGGTCTTTAGCAGTGGGAGGAAACCGGAGGACCCGGAGAAAACCCACGAGGTTGGACAGGCGACCCTACTCCTTGTCACGTACAACCGGGGATTCGACATCTGAAAAACAACTAAATTATTATCCAAAGACATTTTAGTGACATATGGAAAAGGTTTGATAATCATCACAAAAGTGTTACTTTGTGTACTATGTGATAAAGAGGTTAAATGGCAATTCACGTTTGATACAAAAACCATTGAATATTTGGAATTCATCATTTAATTTTTGGTATTTGTAACATATGCAGATGCTGAAAGAGAGAATACTCTCTCATACGCAATATGCTATCAGGCAGCAAACAAATTAACTGTGAGTTATCAGTTAAGGGTCCGATTGGACCCCATGTTCCCTTCAAGCGTTGGGCATGATTTTCATGTAACAACTCTGCATGTGGGAAGCATATGAATACCGATCTATTTGCTACATGTAAAAATGTATAGGAGACAAAGTCACTAAATTTCAGAAAGCAGTACCAGTAGTTATTACACAACACTATAAAACATGTGCATGGGGACCACGGAGACCCCACGTGCACCGACCTGGGTTAACTACCAGTACCATTCCAAAACCAATAAAAACAAATTCTGTAATTCTTTTTCGAATCTGAGTGTTTATCTAGCTATACTAATATTTGTGACTGTCGTTTGTCTGTCTGTCTGTCTGTCTGTTCGAGGTTGGCGGCTACACTAGGTCTGCCCTCAGTCTGAAATTTGGGGTATAGGGGTAGCTCGGACCGGGGAGTAACATAGGCCAGGTGGCGTTAGTCTACCACTTCCGGTTTCGGAGTTATGACCCCCGAGCGAAGTCTGTCTGTTCGGGGTTGGCGGCTACACTAAGTCTGCCCCGAGTCTGAAATTTGGGGTATAGGGGTAGCTCGGACCGGGGAGTAACATAGGCCAGGTGGCGTTAGTCTACCACTTCCGGTTTCGGAGTTATGACCCCCGAGCGAAGTCTGTCTGTTCGGGGTTGGCGGCTACACTAGGTCTGCCCCGAGTCTGAAATTTGGGTATAGGGGTAGCTTGGACCGGGGGGTCACATAGGCCAGGTGGCGTTAGTCTACCACTTCCAGTTTCGGAGTTATGACCCCCGAGCGAAGCCGGTCTGTTCGGGGTTGGCGGCTACACTAGGTCTGCCCCGAGTTTGAAATTTGGGGTATAGGGGTAGCTCGGACCGGGGAGTAATATAGGCCAGGTGGCGTTAGTCTACCACTTCCGGTTTCGGAGTTATGACCCCCGAGCGAAGCCGGGTATCCTGCTAGTTATACATAATTTCCAGTATTCACTTACATTGTAAGGACCACCCAAGAAAGATTGGACTGAAAAGGCGATCACAATAATATAGGACCGACTATATACGGACAAGCATTAGGACTGCAACAGTCATCACAGAATCAGGCGTGACGTGGTTTCGATAAGGAGAAGGGTCTCCTGGGTTTTCTCCGGGTCCTTCGACTCCCTGCCACAGCCAAAGATCCCTACACTCACGCGAATTGCTGAAATAAATTGAATCATATGTGTCACATAAATGGTATAGTTTGTGCCGAGTGGAACTAGACCCTGTCGTTTGCCGGGTTATTCACAGTACACCATTGACAATAGGAGACCAATGAAAAAACCCAAGGAACATTCTCGCGGCGTTCATGTTAGTGAGTCATTGCCTTACTTAATTGGCTCCATATTGATCTTAAATAAGTAAAAACTGTTAGCCTACCACATTGTTTGTTTTCGCAACACAGAATTAAAAAACATTGTATAAATAAGATATACTGGACAAATAACATTATAATTTAATTATCCCTCCCAGGCAGGTGAATGTATATCTGTGTGTAGGTTTAAACATGAAATTAAACAACTTTATTAACACACCTGATAATGGCGTGCTATATTTGACATGACGCGCTTTGATCAATCCATAAGAGCTCATCCCATACACGGTATAAATAATGTCCGTCTTCTAAGACTTTAAACGAACAGTTGATCCATCAACATGTTCACCCAGATACTTCTGCTGCTGTTGGTGCTGAGTCACGTTACTGATGGTAAAAGCATTGCTGTCAAGGTAACTCATTATTTTCTAGTGCTTCTGTAGGCTTAATGTTCGTGCTTGCATGAAATATGCCAGGGAACTGCAGTCATTTCAAGCTCCCATTTTTATTTACTATCAAATCAACATGTGTAGCAATTTGGATCATTTGCTGCATAAAATGTCCATTTAAAGACAATTTGACGCTGTCTTCCACATTTCTGTAATAATAGACCGAGCACTGTGAGTGTAACGCGGAGGGCTGTAGTTTAATCTCCGGCCCATATGTTGTCATCCTACTAATTATGTGTTACTAGCAGGATACCCGGCTTCGCTCGGGGGTCATAACTCCGAAACCGGAAGTGGTAGGCTAACGCCACCTGGCCTATGTTACTCCCCGGTCCGAGCTACCCCTATACCCCAAATTTCAGACTCGGAGCAGACCTAGTGTAGCCGCCAACCCCGAACAGACAGACAGACAGACAAACGACAGTCACAAATATATATATATAGAGAAGATAGATATCGCACACTACCGGACTTTCAAGTTGTAAACCGGAATTTCCCTTGTTCATCACATTCATGGTATATAGACCCCTCCAAAATTCGTAATCTGCATAAAATGAGAATGGAGTACATATACTTCAGGGGGTGGGGTGGAGTTTAAAGAGACTTTCCCGCGTATACACTGTGTGGTTTGATGATCTATTTGGACTAAAATATAATTCAGACTAATTAATCTATTAAAAATTTGCTCCAAATTCCTCTCAAAACTTTATTTTCGTGGGGAGATACCACACGCAATAAATAAACTATTGTTAGAAGCCATGTCTGTCAGTTCAATTCATTGTGGGAGGGTTCATCTTTCAGAATGTACTTTTCATTACTTACTGTCCATCTATCATACATATTGAGGCCTAAGTAAATTCTTAATCATTTTCTGACAACTTCTTTTTCCGCCGTTTAATTGCAGAGTCTTTTATACGTTGACACCCCTCAGTGTTCCCATAACCGCCTAACCATTTGATCAAGAAATAACAACCGGTACCTCAGTCAAGCTAACACACAATAATCTGACAGGCAACAGTTGGGTTGTCAGTTAGTAGTGCCCAGTGCTTGCCCCATGGGTGTTTTTCGGGTAATCCTGTATTTTTCGTGTAAGATTGGGTGTCTATACTTTCCAAATATACCACATTTGCTATACTTTTATTGGAAATAACCACTTGATAATTACTTTTGGGGCAATGTATCTTTAATCACAACCACATTAATTAATGTTGGGGTCTCGGAAAGCTTTCCAGCATCCGAAATCGATTTTTGTCGCAAAATATTTAAGAACGGGTTGGTTGCTTCGGAATAATTTGGGCTGCATAATAGGCACAAGAGGGAACCAACTTAAGGGCAACTTCCAAATCCCGCAGGCTACTAACTTACTATTTAATGCTAAATATTTTTTAAAATATTATTGTTTCCCCTTCCTCTATGGTGTGGAGTTCAGAACTAAATCGGGAGGGACGATTCGGATTGTATTCTTGGCTCCATGGTCACGACCGACTGTAAATCAACCATGAACAATGGTAACTGAATCAAATCTACTTTCAGGATAGTGATAAACCAGTTTCACAAAGATTGAAACGGAGTGGTAGGTTCAATTACCATATTATATATTTCAAAGGAACTATTTCGTTATTAGAAACAATAGGCTTATGTCTTTCGATAGCCGAATCACGTCGGTTTACTGGTCCGACCATACTACAAACGTTTTGGTTGTACGTCAGAGGCGGTGGAACCATTACTGCGTATCGCAAAGCACACATACTTAGGAACTTCAAAACGTCAGTCCACAAAGTAAATTGATAAAATAAAATCGTCTATTCAAGAGACATTCTGCGCTTAACTATACCTCGAGAATAGATCTCTGCCCTAAATGGTCGCCATATTCAAAAATTAGTATACTTTTTTGTAATGCGGCTCTACTCCGTTTTAGTTTTTTCGGTTAAAATAGTCGATTTAGGACTTTAATGTTGGTCAACTAACTTAGCGTCGGTTCTCAAGCGGAGCTAACTGTAGTCAGACAACCTAGGTTTAGTATGTTGAGCAGAGCGACGTCGTTTACTCATATGTGTTTTACACATATTTTCAGTTACATTTACCTATTGCAAGACCCACGCAGTTTTTAAAGTTTAAAAAAATAAGAAAGACAGGTGTCTCGCGTTAGTCCTCTTGTCTCAGTCCTGAAATATATAAACTCCACCACAACTTTGGCTTCAGGTTTGAATTGTATCATACTTAACTTACGCTGTTTGTCTACAGTTAGCTCCACTTGAAAAAAACATACACTAAGCTAATTGACAGACATTTTAATTCTTAAATCTAAGATTTTAGTCGAAATCACTGTGTATACTTCAGGCATTTTGAGAAGTATTTATTCCACTTCCATTTAATAAAATTAAAGCGACGTTTTTAGCCGTTGTGTGTATCGAAGATGTGAAACGGAGTAAAGCAGCATTACACAATAGCATTCTATTTGTGTGATACTGCTGCCACTCGGCAGGGATCTGTTCTCGAAGTAGACTGTTCTCGGTGTGCAGAATGAAATTGTAGTTGATATTACTAAAAAGGAAATTGATTAATTTCAGTTTGTACATCCGCTAGATCAAATGGTGGAACCACTGAGATAGAATACCCAGCTATTTGGAGAACTCAATATGGGAACGGCGATAACTGTTTGTGGTCAGTATGTACGGGTACACAAACAGCTAATGTTATTTTCAAACAAATGGATATTGAAGCCCAATCGACATGTAACTATGATTCGTTATCAGTACAAGGTACTAAATACTGTGGAACGACCAGGAGGAATTTTAATGGTAAAGTTATTTCATATCAATTGAGTTGTTGATTACTTTTATCCACAGTGTAAACAAAACCAAGGATATGGTTCTAAGGGTCGTTAATTGAATTCAGAAAATCTGAAATGAGATTCGGTTTAAAATCCTACTTTTCGGTTTCAGCAGGGCAAAGCAAGGCGGATACATACAATGCAATGTGCTATGAGGAACATTGAGCCCGGGTGCTAAGACGTACTATTATTTCGAATACCAAATGTCGAAGCTTCAATTAGGTACACGCCACCGTGCACCTGGGACCTCGCTTTTTCCTGACCGCCCAAACGACTAGATATCCACAGGGCATATTTCTCGAACCGCCTGACCATAATTTCATCGTTTTAGTCAGTAATATATTCTGCATCGTTCACATTTCGAACGATAGAGTGTTTAAATATAATTACATATTTCAGTGCCGACGACTGACGGTTGTATTACTATAAAATTCACAAGTGATAGCAGTGTTACACAGAACGGGTTTCAACTCGAAGTTAAACCTATAGAAGGTACAGTTACATTTTACTATTATAGGTATATATTTATTCCAAAAATATGCTTTCTCATATGGGTCTTTAGAAATAAAAGCAAACCGAAGTATATACCCAAAAGCATTCCTACCCCTCGCCAGTTAAAGGTCCGAGATAGATGAAATGAAATGGTGTTTAACGACCTACTGTTCTGCTCCGACGGGGATAATGAAGACGGGCATACCACATACAGTGTGCTATGGGGGGAATTCTGCCGGGGCAGCTGCACTATGGCCCACTCTTATATCGAATTCCAACTGCCAAGGGATCATTTATCTGCACGCTAATGTATGGACGGGAACTCGTTCTTTCGTCCCATCCAAACGACTAGACAACTGTCATTGTCATGCACTATGGCCGGCACCACTGGCAAGTGTAAACTACGCCGGAAAATCCCAATGAACGATGACTATAATTATAACAAACCCACTAAAATAACTAAAGTCATTGTTGTAGGCATATACTCACAATGTTCACAATTAGATGTTTGCTTGAACGTGACTTGTAAAATCGTGTTGAAACGTTTCAGATTAATTAAATCCATACCAAGTATTCTAGTATATTTTAGGTCAATAAATATTAATTACATCTCAAGTATTAAATCTTATGATTCATAGACATGGCTTTGGGTCACTCTGATAACCGAATTCTGGAAAATATTTACTACGTCACTGCATGTACCCAAAATATTATCAAGCTAACTCAATTGACGTCATAGTCCTTAAATGTATCGGCATAAAGAAATAACCAGTGATCGGGTGCCCCACCATAAATAAATATCTCCAAATATCCCGACAATTACACCACAACATTTATATATATATATATATACCAAGCCTTAAATGAGTTTCGCACATTTATAGTCATTAAATAAACGATCAGGTTGTATTTAATAAGCTATGACCACTTAACCACTAATAAATAATAGACTGGAAAATGGTTACGAGTGTCGGTCATAACATCATACCATTCTTCATCTGATTGACAGGCCGGGACAACCAAGCCTACTTTTTTACGAAACATAACAGAAAGCTCGAAAAAGAAATTGAATTTAGGAACACGCACGTTGGGCAACTCAACAATTGTTTTAAGAACCTTGTAAAAGTGACATGAAACTACTGCTAGTATCAGGTTCTTGTCCAACGCAAGTATTTCAGAGAGATTATTTGTACTAAACCAAAATATGCCGCTCCCAATGGTACAGTTAATGATAAAGCAATTTAAAAAAATAAACGAACGTAATTTCTAAAGCTCAACTGTAATAACAAAAAAACCTCTAATATTACTGCTATTCAGAATCGTCAACAATACGCCTGTAATAGTTGATAGATGTGTAGATAAAATCATAGACTCTTGTGCTGAGTGTTATCGCACCGGGTGACTAGCCATAAATCACTTCGAGACAAGCCACTGAAGCCTGCACATTCGCCGTGTGGAGTTCAACTTTGAGTAGGGGGAATTTTGGCAGCATGGGGCACCCTACCAGTGAGAGATTATCAATCTAATTGGCTTTTAAAATTTGTATAATTTGAAGAGGTATTCTAGTGAATGAAATTCAGCAATGGACGACTATGATATGCAAGTGATTATAACAGTGCTGATATTATTTCACATGTACATCGCTGAAACTGTACGTACTTTTATTTAAATATATATGGAGTTTGTTCTCTCATTCAGAATCAACAACACCGAACTATGGTGGCTACACATCCTACTACACAAGTCCATATTATCAATATAATGGTGATACAACACCCAACTACTACTACAATGGTGATACAACACCCAACTACTACTACTACAATGGTGATACAACTCCTAACTACAATGGCTACTACTACAATGGTGATACAACACCCAACTACAATGGCTACTACTACACAAGTCCACATTATCAATATAATGGTGATACAACACCCAACTACAATGGCTATTACTACACAAGTCCACATTATCAATATAATGGCTACTACTACACAAGTCCACGATATCAATATAATAGTGATACCACACCCAACTACAATAGCTACTACTACACAAGTCCACGATATCAATATAATAGTGATACCACACCCAACTATAATAGTTACTACTACACAAGTCCACGATATCAATATAATAGTGATACCACACCCAACTACAATAGCTACTACTACTACACAAGTCCACGATATCAATATAATAGCGATACCACACCCAACTACAATAGCTACTACTACACAAGTCCACGATATCAATATAATAGCGATACCACACCCAACTACAATAGCTACTACTACACAAGTCCACGATATCAATATAATAGTGATACCACACCCAACTACAATAGCTACTACTACTACACAAGTCCACGATATCAATATAATAGCGATACCACACCCAACTACAATAGCTACTACTACACAAGTCCACGATATCAATATAATAGCGGTACCACACCCAACTACAATGGCTACTACTACACAAGCTCATCTTATCCATACAATATGTATTACTCAACCTCGAACTACAACCCCGATTACACAACCCAGAACTACAACACCGGTACTGATTCTTATAACTGGTATAATTATGCTACCTCGAACTACAACCCCGATTACACAACCCAGAACTACAACACCGGTACTGATTCTTATAACTGGTATAATTATGCCACTACTCCAAGACCACAATGTGAGTATTGCATGTATAACACGGGATCGAACACGGGACCTCGAGGTTAGCGAGCCAACGCGTTACTCACTGAGCCACTGTGGCTCTCATCTTCGTATAGTTTTGAATAAAAATGAATGGAGAAACAACTTACTAGATGAAACCAATGACGTATACGTGATTTAGAAACAATTTAACCATGCTTATAGACCATCGCAATAAACCTCAGCATTGGTTGCTACAAAATGTCCGAAAAGGTTCCCTTGGACTCTTCGGCGCGGTTTCCCCTTTTTAGTGATTCATGACGAAGGGCCCGATGAAGGAACTGTGACTAATCGCGCTTCAATGGAACGAATAACCAAAGTTCTGGTTACACATCGGATGTACCTGAAAGAATTAGGCAGGCGACCACACTCCTTGTCACGTACAAGCAGAGAATCGACACCACGCCACGTGACTCGATAACAGGCGTTATGATGCCACGCGCACTCGATAGCCATTCGGCCATCCAACCCACCTTTCACGATTTAAAAGAACGCTCGTTTATTCTTTCAGCTCAACAAGGAAATGATACTTTGATAGAAGGGGAGTTGGTAGATATCAGAAGTGAAGCAGTAGAGGTTGTCGATAAAGTTGATGATGCTTTAAGAAATGTTCAGGGTTAGATGTTCCCGGCCTTCCTGGACGAAACGAAATAAAATGTATCCAAATTGAAGTATACTATTGTCCAATCTGTCACATAGCTGTACAAGCCCGATCATCTGGTGGGGGTGGGGGTAGAGTGGCACGAAAACTGTTCCATCGCGGCCGGCGAAGCACGAGTTGGGTACAGCAGCCAATTAAAGGCTTTGTTAGGTGGATTCGGAACCAAGATTCCACTCTGCGCACACTTGAATTCTAGGTGATTGCGAGAGACGGAGGGGGGGGGGGGACGGCGGTTATGAAATTTCGGAAATGAAATGACCGCTCAGATTCGTCGAAGCCGCGGCAGGCGGGAGTTAATGTGGTGATATCTATCACAGGACTTGTTTGAAAACAAGACGGTCGAAAACGCGTGTGCTCGTGAATGGCCCAATATTGCCCACATGTAATCAAATCAACAAATCAAAAGATCAGACTGATGCCGCTGCATTTACATGAAATTAGAAATGTCACTGATGGAACAAATGATGATACCCGAAAAACAAATGCCGTGCTTAGAGCTTGGTGACTTTTCTATGCAGTATCGGTAGACCCTGTTTATTACAATGCAGAGTGTCGTCAGATCAAAAATTCAAGAGGCACTTTATTTTGCCGACTAGAAGGCAAAAAGCTCCCCCCCCCCCCAATATCATATTAATTTTCTTGTTCACTTTGCCCATCTTACCACCGCAAAAATCTGATTGCCCTCCATCCGGCCCATCTCCCCTCGTTCGCCTATATTCTTAGATCGGAGTCCTTGGAAACAAACAACAACAAAACTAAGTTTCCGCGTACACATTTGCGTGTACGTAAAAGAACACATGACAGTCGGAATTCGAAATAAGAGGAGGTCATTAATATTTCGTTCCTTCATGGATTGTTAAACTTAATGCAATTTTGCAACTCTGGGGACGTTCCATTGAATATTCAGTAGACAGTATTCCGACCAAATTCAATTAATACAAACAGCTCTGAGCTGTTGTGCGGAAAGGGTCGTATCTATTTTTTTCTCAATCTGCATGGAAACATTCTGGTTTATAAATATACCGAGAGCGACAGAGAGAGAAAATTGAGTTTTACGTCCAAGCGACACAGACTAGGCCATTTCGGGACTAACATTTGTTAAAATTTTATTTCAATAATTAATAATTGGCTTGCGTGTAGGGGTCTTTAGCAATGGGATGAAACCGGAGAACAGGCGACCCTACTTCTTGTCAGTTGTCACGTGCAAGCGGGAATCGAAACTACGCCATTTGATTCAATGACAGCCCACCTGATACAAAGCGCATGCGTTAACCCTTGAAAATATGGCAAGTTAATGGCACTTTAACGACCGCCAATGTTCTGGTTGATGACCTCGCAGTCCGTCTGCATTTGATACTCGTGCGACTTCATTCTTCGCACCAAAAACTCTGTTATAGGCCGGCAGCCAAAATTTCTAGCGTGAAGTTCCGCTACAAGGTCCTCCCTACTTAAAAGCTTATAATACTAGGAACATAAATCCAGAGAGGTCCAAGCAAAGTATACTGTATACCAGTCTTGTCAGCAGACCTGGTGCAGAAAAGTAGGACCCCATTTCATTTCTAATTTAAGATTAAAATGCAAACCATTAAACTAGAAATTAAATTTCTTTCTACAATAAATAGATATAACTCAATGACCATTGAATACCGCCCGTGGACTACTTGCACGGGGATACACTCTCTTGATACACTATTTGCTTGTATTTGGATGTGAGCATAGAGAATAAATAGATAGAGCTCAATGATCATTGAATACCGCTCGGGTTATTCAATGGTTCAAGAGAGTGAATCCCTGCGAAAGTATTCGTGGAATGCGGCTCCGAGATACACTCGAGTGTATCCCGAGCGGTATTCAATGGTCATTAAGTTCTGTTTTTATTCTATAACTACATGTAAATCTCAAAATATCCAGATTATCAAAAACAAAATCACCAATAACGTTAAAATTCATCATAGGTTTGACAAAAATTGTGGTTGCCTAGTGGCGACGGCATTACAGTTTGACGTATGCAATGGCTGTATTCAATGATATTTGCTTGTATTTGCAAGTAGTTTTAGAATTGGTTTTAGGTAATTTGTTCAAATTGCTCCCATTTCGGTCCTACAGTTCAGAATGGCAAGCCCTGTCCATGGACACTGCACAGTTTCATAACAAACTGCCATCTATTATGTCTATTATTAGACATATTCATATACTTGTAACTGGAAAATAAACATCATATTTATTAAGATGTCAAATATCGTTACTGGCCTATATTCTGGAAACCTGGTTGGTTGGCAACGTGAACATATTGAGATAAAGAGATTAATGTTAGGTTAACAGTTCTTTGACACCAAATTGATATATCAATTATATGATTCTAAGTTTTTATCAGGGAAATAGAATATGTTTATCAGATATTATTACTTCCAGGAATGGTCGATTCATTTGTGTAAATGCAGCCTAGAAATATAAGAGATTTATTGGCCAACTTCTCTGGGTTTATGTAAAATAGTAAGATTGGGCATGTAAACCCTGGCCATTATATCCTTGTTGACTCCTTCATTATTTTTTAAACAGGTATTTCTATTATCTCAATTTCCTTAAGTAACCCTTCTTAATTCAATCTCGTATGGCTGGATAATTTGGATTAGGTTCACCGTTCACCATGTTTATTAATTACTGGAAGAGCAAGTCTCTTGACTCGTAAGTACTTCATCAACTTCATCAATTGGCGCTCACGTTAACTTTCAGGATAAGGCACTTGTCAAGAGCGAGACTCCTGATTCTCGCCAAATTATTGGTTCGCTAATAGTCATGCATTGAGAGCGGTGCTTCTAACATGTTAGTACTGTACAAAAATATTTATGTATATTTTTTTTAAGCCAAATTGATGGAACCCCAGGAGAAATAAGCTAGAAGACATTTGATATGTGTAATATTAAAAGATTTCATTTCATTATTATGGATACATGTTGTGAAGGAATCCAATTCTAATAACCATTGTTTTTATATAGGACGCGATAATGAGAAATTGTTTCATCTTCCTCTTTTCTCAAGAGTTTATTATATTCAGTTGTAATAATTATTATATTCTAGACACGAGGGAAATAAAGCAAGGTCTGACTACATGCTAACTATTCTTAATGTGGTTTTAAATTATTTTTCAATGAAAGCTAGTACTTATTAATAAACACTGGACACTTCATATTTTATTTACATGTTTCAGTCTTCCACCATATAAGATCACGCTATAATTATTAATAACAATAGAATATGAAATTAGTCAATTTTACAAAGAAGACGCTTGAGAGGCAGTACAATAAAATACCAATAGAATTTTTTATACGCCCACTAAATTAGTTGGTAGTAAGTTTAAGAGATCTTGAAAGGGTGTATGGCTGCATTCTTTGAAACCTTAAAATTTACGAAAATGGATCTAAAAGCACATATTAATGTTAACATGAGTTTATATAACGTGATTTACACTCATATTTTAAAATCTGTATAATACTTATATTGAGTGATATCCGCGAAGAGTCCAAGTTGAAAGGTGAATGTTTTCACCTGGTATTTATTTTTGTTTTTGATTTTTGGGTCGTTTCTGAAGAATTCTTTTTCGTCTATTGATTTGAAAATGTTCACGGTGTCTTAAATATTATATATTAGGATCCCATCTTGTCCCGGTAAGACAACAACATCAATATCTTGAGTTTAAAGTTTTCAGTTCCTTTCTAAACAGGGAGGCGCGATATTGTAGTAAGATGTTGGATCGTTAATCCTTTTGTTGGTCGATAATTTCACGGACTTTCGGGTGTGACCCCCCTTGTTAGTGGTGTGGCAAGGAACAGTCTTGGGGCGAAATATCGATGTCGTATAAATGAGCCCTTTGCAATTGGAATTAGAAGCGAGAGTAGGTCGGAGCGCCACTGTCCGGGCAACATTAGTCTTCAGAAACGTAGGATGCTTCCTTTTAAAACAAAAACCACACAACTAAAGTTATACTTTAAAAGGAAGTAAAGACCCCTACGCGCAAGCGAATTATTAAAATAAAATTAAACCATATGTTAGTGCCGAAATGACCTAGTTTGTGTCGAGTGGACGTTAAACCCCATGTATCTCTCTCTCTCTCTCTCTCTCTCTCAAGACCGCTTGATGGATATCATTCACTAAGTTTATTAACTGCAAAACGTTTTAATGGGGATACAGTCATGAATCAAATGATACAAGCAAACATGTTATAGAGTGCTAGATACAAACGAGTAACAATTAGCTTACGGAAGCCATTTAACGAAACCATGATACGCTGTTTAACAATTAGTCAGATTTTATATAAATAACGTGTATAATTGTGATTATAAAAATTAATTAATAAGAAACACCAAACACTGAGCATACGTAAATTAATATCTTAATTAATAAGAAATGTTAGTGCAATAATTAACATCAAACTGTATCAAAGTGGGTGTTTAAAAATGCTTCTCTCACTTTTTATATCAAATGTTCGTCTCACTTTCTGATGTCTATTCAATATTACCTGTTATTTCTACTTCACACAGTGTTAATATTTCTGTAGGTTTGGTAATTCTAACCCATCGTCCAATAGTCACCTCGTCACATTCTACGGTTCTAATAATACATCCGAATTCTCCTGGTATAAATTTACACAGTGTGGATGGAGTTGATGCGGATGGCAAGGATTGATAAACCAGAATACTGATGTTTGATAGACGACTGCCCACATCTGAAATTATTTAAATTCGATATAGTTACCCCTATAAGCATAAGGGCTCCTTTAAAACCGATAATAGGGTTTATCGTTGAATTAAGTGGCGTGGTTTCGATTCCCCGTGACAAGGAGTTGGGTTTTCTGTTCAACTTCGCAGGTTTTCTGCGTGTACTCCGGTTTCGTGTCACTCACTATACTAGATTACCTATAATTCTAGGATACCATCAAATATAATATAGTTTACTTGTTATAGTGAATATTAACTCTGTTAGCTATAATTAGACTGGTGATAGCATAGTAAATACTAACTCTGTTTACCGTCGACTTTGTTAGCTATAGTTAGACTGGTTATAGCATAGTAAATACTAACTCTGTTTACCATCAACTCTGTTAGCTATAGTTAGACTACAGTATATACTCACACTGTTTACCATCAACTCTGTTAGCTATAGTTAGACTGGTTATATTATAGATGGTCGAAAGATCCACCTGCCACCAGGGATTTAAGTCTCCGTCCGCTGAATGAGTACACGTATTGTACTTGACTGGTTTCAATCCGTCTGTTGCACGGTAAGAATAGTGGCCCGAGTGTGATGAACTTTCAGATGTTAGTTTTCCATACGCAATATTTGGTCCACCTATAGATTTAAAGAAACATACCTTAAATTAATAGGGTACGTTGGAATATTCAGGTGTATTCCAAAGTTGTTTTTGTAAATACCAAACGGAACTGAGAGATTTCTGGACTGATATTCCTGTTATAAATTTAACTGATACAATATTGTAGGTTGCAAGGGAATCCTTTATCACTCAAATCACATCCCGGTGGATTATAATTGACGTGATTAGATTTAAGACGGTAATCTGATTCATCAAAGGCAATATTTTTCAATTTAATAGATATTAATTAAACTTGAACGGTAGCCTTACAACCAGATGGTTAAGGCCTATCTCACAACCTGTCGTGCGTGTTTTGATACGCACGGGTCGTAGGGTTCGGTAACTCACAGAGCAGCCGCAAGGAACCGGGTTTATGTGCCGGAACAAAAGTCTCTACGGCTCACAGAGAACCGGGTGAACATTCTGTATATGCCAGTCTGCGATCTTCTATGGTGTCGAGCACACGCAAGTGATGCGTAAGTCTCACGCACATGTTTACTAAAATTTCCCCCGTAGACTGACCGTAGTACAGGGTGAGTTAGGCTTAACCAATAAGTACGTGTGAACAGAACATATATTAACATCTCTGTCATCTTCGTATATCAATTTATTTGACTGCAAACTGATTGGGCAATCATTTGAAATGCACAAACTTTAAATTCAGTCGACCCATTCTTGAACGTAAAATGAAATGTTGTTATTTCGTAATAAATTACACCCAAGTTTTAACAACATAGATTTGTGTCATGGAATTAAGCTTCTAAGTAGCTTCTATGACTATTATACAAACTTGATAAGTTATAGAAAAAGATGACAATCATACACTGAAAAAAACACCTTATGAGTAACACAAACCTGTGTTGAAACAACACAAAACTTGTGTTGAAACAACACAAAACTTGTGTTGATACTTGTGTGAAGATCTACACATCACTTGTGTTAAAATTTCTGAAGCTTGTGTTGAAATTACTTAAACTTGTGTTGAAATTACTTAAACTTGTGTTGAAATTACTTAAACTTGTGTTGAAATTTCAGAAACTTGTGTTTTTTCATACATACTTGTGTATATACACCAACAAAAACTTGTGTTCTATTTTACTAATTTATATTCAGTACAGCATCCTTTCCCATGCAGTCCCCTCATTTTATTCTGTTTAAACTGCAATGTTTGATAAATGACATAACAATAATTTTGTTAAATTAATATTTATTCATTAATGATATGAAAAATTAAATTAATATTTCAAACTCAATATTAAGCAGACACCTTGAAGGTTAATAAACAATGTTAATTCCAAAACTAATAAAATTGTGTTATACAATGAAAAAATACCCCACCTCCCTCCCTGCTTACCACCGTCCGATACGTTTTGGATTTTTATTTCATGTCCAAATCTTGAGCCATAACACTTTTCGACTGCAACTATCCATACAGCCATATACAGCTAACGGGAATTATCATTCTGAAAACCCATCAGCTTATCATGTCCATCTAATGAATGGATCCGGTTGGGTCTTTTTAAATAACAACGCCACTATTCCTTCTTTGTTTTGTTCAATAATCGCCTTTCTTGAAGATCATTTGAATTTAGTTCCGTCATTACTGCATACACTAAATCTCGCGGAACGTTCAATCTTAGTGTACCTTCTTGTGTAGGCACGATATCCTAACAAATGGAATAGGGTAGATTTATATCAATGTGATTTGGGGGAGGGGAGGGGAGGAGGTGAATTGCAAACAACCCACCTGACCATAAGAGAGAGAGAGAGGGAGAGAGAGAGAGAGAGATTTAACATCCACTTGACACATCCACTTTATTTCAATAATATTGCCTCGTGTCTATGGGTATTTAGCTGTGTGAGAGTAAACCGGAGGACATCGAAAAAACCCACAAGGTTGGACAGGCAACCGTATTCCTTGTCATGTAAGAAATCAAATACACGCCACTAGACGACCATGACAGATCTAATAATCTAACGCGCATCCGTCGAACCAACCCCCCCTTATTAAAACAACACGAACAAGACATTAAATGAATTAACACATACATGTAAATGTACCAATCCAATGTCGATCATCTGCCGCGTTGATCCCGTACGTTACTTCTAGCCTAAAGTTACGTGTAGTTAGAATCTTTATCCTGGATAGTCAAACATTGATCATGTCTATTAGTTAACAATGCATACCTAACATAAGTTCTTCAATTGTTTCTTTCAGCACATCGATACTTAACCATTCCGAGCAAGAATCAACGGAAATCAGAAAAGAGTAGCCTAAAAAAAAGTCTTGTTCGATCGACAGTTCAGCCTTTCTGATAAAATAGGGTTTTTAGCTCATCAACATTACAATGATTAGGCCAATCGTCTCGGGACAGTTGTAAAACTTTTGATAGAATTATGTCATTTCGGGTTTCTGCGGCGATAACCTTTGAAGTTAAAGGAACCTCTTTCAATGCAGAGTTTGTTACGAACAAAACTTCGTCATTATGACAGTTAAAATCACTTTTATCGTCTTGTAACGATATGCGTAATAAGTAATCCGTGCACAGATTATCTTTCGAAGAAACATATTTCACTTCATAACGGTATACACATAAAATCAGCAAGCAAATATTGCCTAATTTTGTGTACACCAAATACTATTGACAAGGCTTCTCTCTCAATCTGGGAGTAGTTTTTCTCTGCAGTGGAAAGGCTTCGTGGCGCGAACGATATGGGTTTAAGTTTACTATCTCCCTCTCGTTGCTGTAGAACAGACCCAATTCCAAACGACGAGGCATCACAGGAGAGTACTAACTCAGCATCAGGATCATAATGAGCAAGAATTATTTCATCAGACATCATAGATTTTATTTTTTGAAAAAAGAGTTCATGTTCATTATTCTAAGTGCATTTCTTATAAAGCTTTAATAGATCATAAAGTGGGGCAATATGATGTAAAATGTGTGGCTGAAACCAGGAATAGTAGTTCACCATGCCAACGAATGATCATAACTGTGATACATTAGAAGATGTTTTGCTTCTTTAATAACTTTCACTTTTATCTACTAACTACTTTCATTTCATATTATTTTTAATTTGAAAATAATTTTATTTTGATTTCCTTTTACTTTTCATTTTGATTTAACTTTGTTTCCAATTTCAATTTACTTTTCTTTCAGTTTAATTTTCATTTTCAGTTTGATTTTTATTTTAATTTAATTTCGTTTTTACTTTTAATCTAAATTTGAATTAATTTTCCTTTTATTTAATATAAGAAACCAATGATAGCGATAGGCCACCATACTCGTTGTAGTTGATTACCGATATACATGTAGGACAATGCATACACAACGTGAACTACTTGATTCGGCCAATACAAGTACATGTTTGGAGTGGTTTATAAATACTTTTCGTGGAATTATATCTACACATATACTAATAATTATAGGACATTGTTAAAAATAAATCTTAAAAAAAAATGAAAGTGTTACCAGTTTTACCTTATGGAGTTTTTGGCAAAATCTCAATAATTGGAAGAGCCAATTAACATCACTGACTGGATTTAGATAACATTGCAACTGACACAAAAGTGAAAAAGGTTATTATACATATCTAGTCCATGCCTGGGTTTATTTCTATTTTTGCCATTTCTATTATACCTTGAAAGAAGATGGCAGCCAATCAACCTGGGTACAATTTCAAGACCGGCTCTTACTTGTTGGCCCGTCGAGCGATTTCTAGTTATCTGAACAACGGCGTAGCGCCGAATAACTAATGTTAATTAAGAACGGTTTCAGAAAAATTAGACAGATTCATCAGATTACTGAATTACAGAACCGGTTTCATAACATACCACAATTTTTTCCTTGTCCGCTATTGTAAACACGCACTTCCGGGGAAATTGTTCGGGTGGTTTTTTTTTGGTTTTTTTTAGACAAAACGAAATACTTATATACATAGAAACAATATCGATGCTAAATTAAACAAACCTAAAATATCAATTAATGTATATTGTAACTTGGGTCAATATTTAGCTCTGCTACTCGGACCAACCCAAAGACCGCTGGGACCAATTAATCTATAATGTAAGACCACTTGGATCAGTATTTAGCTTTGCTTCTCGGACCAACCCAAAAGACCACACTGACCAATAAAACATAAATACAAACAATAAATATGTGTCTATTTATTTTATTATTAAATCAAATATGCTGTTGATGTTTATTACAGATTTAACGTCCAATACAATAAAAATGATATTATGGACAGGCTGATTTAATTAAATTATTTACACCTGAAAATATGTTTGAATGATATATATATATATATATATATCAGCGCTTGGACATACTCCAATCACATCAATTAAAAATAAATTGTTTTCCCATGATGTGCTTCATTATTTTTGATTAGATTGCAACACGGGTGAGTACATTTACATACGAATTAATCAATAAAGTACATAACACTGTATTACTTCTTTCTTTCTTTTTTTCTTTTTCTTTTTTTCTTACTTCAATGAAAACAGATGCATATTATAACGAACACATTTTATAATTATCAATTTATTAAGACAACACTTTATTATTGGTCCGAGTAGTCATATTAAAACAAACACACTTATTAATTGATCAAAATAACACTTTATTATACCCATACTTTTTTTCGACTCTGTGATGAAAAGGGGAGGGTATACACGGTGTATCAGATGAAAAGTGGCCGTGTATCAATTGAAAAGGGACATAAATAACAAAATCATGATTTACATATTTATTTGAACATCACCAACCCGTTTTGAACATGTTATGGTAAAAGAGTCATCATTTTCAACTTTCTTTGCACTTTTCGAATGTGTGCGACTCTCGGTCATATTCTAAACATTTTGTCTCGCATTTCTTTACATTTTGATATCGGTTTATGCTCATCCGCAGCACGTAATCCAAATATTTTACTATTATAAATTAATCTCTTGACATTTTCTACACTAAACACTTGAGAACTCGGCAATTCCAACTCGTCTTTATTTAATGGCTGTGCTTGTTTTCTGTGTATGCCAATACCTCGCGAATTTAATGATTTCATCTGCGCGTCTAATGTAATGTAGCACGGAAATTAGCAAAAGTACCTTGCTTATCATCAAAAAAGTTCAAATCAAATCTTTTGTACTGATCTCGCAAGTGTCACTATTCCTATGCATATATTCTTTAATGTACTAGCTGGATTTGGTGTACCTTTTGTCTATTGATTTCACAAACACATCTACACATCCAATAATCGAGAATATCAGCTGGTATGTCTGCCGATAGAATTGGAACCGGGGGAAAGCGTTCACTTGTAGTCACTCCATTGTTGTGTACGGAACTATTTCTTGAACACCCCTAAGAATCATAAATACTAATACACCAATTGGAATTTTTCGACTCACCTGCTTTGCATATGGCTTGAATTTCTTGTTCTAAATTACTTGTTCTGTGATAGATGGGGGGGGGGGGGTCTCGCGTTGATTGGGAGTTGGCAGAACTGATATTCTCGGTCTCCGGAATATACATCTGTGACATTATAAAGTCGGATTCTTGTCGAATACCCCGTTCATTTTCTGCCATCCACTACAATCGACGCAGCCTGAATTTTGTGAAAACAACCAGAAATGGCTATTGTACAAAATGATTGGATGACGTTTGCTTTGATCAACCAATCAATAGCCCTGTTATGAACATATTCCCTGGCCTGATTTAAACCGTGAAATGCACGTGTGATGTACTGACATCATTTACCCGAGTAGAAATAAGCGTTTGCGATGAGATGATTGAGGGGCTCTGAATGGGAAACTTTGATAAATTTGTGAAATGAAAAATGCTTTTGAAACTGGGAAAAATAGAAAAAAAATCTCTTTTTCTCGAAAAAGTATTTGGTATTAGTCAGTTATATACCTTGTTTTCTCGGTGTATGGGTTGATACACCGTCTCTTTTTTGAGTGGAGATCTCCTCGGCTTCGCCTCGGAGCCTCACTCAAAAAAATGACGGTGTATCAACCCATACACCTTGAAAACAAGGTATATAACTATTACTTATTGGTCCGAGTTGTTATGGATTCATATATATAAAATGTAAAAATGATACTAACACTACAATAAGAAATGAAAAACGTCGCCATGTTATGAACAGCATTCTTGAGAATCGTGCTGATACCCGTGAAATTCACAAGATTGTCAATAAAATCCTAAATAAAGACGGGCCAGAACAGGCTCTTCCAGTAAATCGAGACTCTGAAGTTTTGGCAAAGTTAATACTATACGACTCTCAGGACAGTAATACTTACTCTGGCGTGCAACTCTCAACATTTAGCACCGTATCTAATCTGGATATAAATAAGATCATCATCTTCAGCTTTGTGCACTCTAGGTGCCATTCCTACTCGGCTACCAAAACAGTGTATTGACGTGATGTCCCCAGCTATCACGGATAATATAAATACCTCTTTGGCTTCTGGCTGTATGCCGGATGTTCTGAAATAGGCGTTAGTGTTTCCCCTACTATTAAAGCCCAACTTTGATAAAGAATTACTAAAGAATCATAGAATGGTTTCTAATCCTTTTTTTCTTTCCTTTAAAAAATTATTGAGAAAGCTGTTGCATAATAATAACCTCAACGAAGTATTCCAATCTGCACATAGAAAGCAACACAGCACTGGAACCGCCTCATTACGTGCTCAAAATGACTTACTAAACGAAATAGATAAGAAACAAACACCAGTACTAGTCCTGCTTGGTCTAAGAGCTGCGGTTGACACGAAATACCACCAAATTATTTTTAAAAGATTGCTGAACAACTTTGGTGTAAGTGCACTAGCCCTTACATAGTTCCAGTCATACCTTGATAACCGCACACAGACAGTTGTTATCAAATGTTCCCCATCCAACTCAACGGCTGTAAAGTGTGACGTGCCACAGGGTTCCGTTCTCGGTCCTTTATTATTTACTACATACACGACATCTTTAGGAAGTGTCATTCGTAAACATGGCTTTAACTACCATCTGTACGACACTCAAATTTATATATCTTTTCAGCCTTGTTGTGAACCATCTAAGATATGCAAACTTTAGGCCTGTTTATCACATATTATAAACTCAAATTAATTAAAACTGAACGATGACAAAACAGAAATAATGAAAGTCGGCATCAGGCAGCAACTACTAAAATCTAAAACAGAAAACTATCAAATTGGCATTATCTCTATTACAGCAACAGGATCTGTAAATAAATCTTGGGAGTTTATTTTGACTCTAATCTGGACATAAATAAACAAATTTCTGCCATGTGTAAAAGTATTAATTTTCAGATTTATAATATTGGAAAAAAATAGATCTTCCATTGATAGTGACACGACTAAAATGTTGGTAAACAGTATGGTTGCATCAAGAGTCGATTACTAAAATTCACATTTGTATAATCTACATGAAAATAAAATTAAACGACTTCAGAAACTTCAAAATAAAGCAGACTTAACCAAATTAATATATGACATATGACATCAATTCTTAAAGATCTCCATTGGCTTCTAGTGCGTCAACGTAAAAAATTTAAAATACTGTCTATTACGTATTCTGCTCTAAATGACGATTCTTCACCACAATACCTTAGAATCCTCCTCAACACCAATAAACCACGCATAATATTTCGATCACAGTCAGACAACCTCTTAATTAAGCCTTTTTCAAAAACTAACCCCAGTCAGATCTTTCGCAGTCGGTGCTCCGAAGTTATGAAATTCAATATCAGACGAAACCAAAAGCGCAAATTCTATTAAAGGTTATAAAAGGGATCTCAAAATCAAATATACAACTGATTAAATATGGATCTAGCTGTGTTTGTGACAGACTTTTACCATGTGTACTAAATAACGTTTTCTGTTTTTTGTTTGTCTTTTTTTAAGGATTAATGTGTATTGATTTTTGTAAGTTTATATTAGCTGTACTTATGTAAAGCGCCCGAGAGCAGCTCGCTGGGTTGAATTGTCGGCACTATATAAATTAATTCTTCTTATTATTAATTTTCGAGGTTCGAATTTAGTCTTTTATTTCATTGCGTTGATTTTAAAAACACAAAATATTTGTTGACGGCACATTTTATATATCTAGGCATTAAAAAGAACACAAGTTTGTGTTAATGCAATGCAAAAGAACACAAGTTTGTGTAGAATAATTTTCACACAAGTACTTGTGTTGAGATCCAATACAAGATTTTTAAAATTTGATCAGATTTTGGACAACCCCGTGTAATGTCTGCGATTCTGCGTAAATAGGGTGTACAGATGAAATATATATCAACACATATCCTGGGTCCCTTAACGGGGGTTAAAGACCCCCGGGCAAAGCAGTGTTCCGGGGCCTTTAACACCACGAGCACAAATGGGCGAAGAAATCAATCATGTCAATTGTATTGGTACAATTGTCAGCAGGAGATATATATGGCTTTTGTCTTACCTGGTAATTGTCTACAAGAATAACTTCGGTGATCCACACAATCATACGGGTTTATGGCATTCACTGAAACAATAACATTAACAATAACTGAGAGTTTATAAATATAACTGAATCTTGCTTTAAGAGTTAATAAGTCGTGGTTTAATATTATATAGACATACATGATACGCTGTTTGAATATTATAAATAGTTTTAAACAATCTCATCTATTCAGTTATATTCCTTTGTTTTGTCAGGATTTTCATTGTTCTATTAAAACGGTTGTTTAACCATGTGTCACAATTTATTGATCTTTAACCCACAATTAAACATTGAAAGCCAAATTACAAGAACAAAATATCATTATATTTACGAAAGGTTTGTCTTCATACTCCTGTTGTAGTCTAGTGTTTGATACTGTCGTGTGTTACATTTAATGGGTATTATTCTAAATCTGCCTATTGCAGGTCTTTTATTAGGCCTTAAAGGGGAAGACGAGCTATTTTCAACAAGGTTTCCATCAATCTTAAATATATATTCATGAATAAGCCCAACTGTTTTTATAAGCGAAAAATTAATCTAGTCTGTGATCGATAATGACTCCGCTCCGAATGAAATATTTTTTACTGAAATTTACCTATTTTATGATGTATGGTTTAAATATTATAGCAAGGACTGTCAGCTTTTATCTACATCGTACATAATGCATGATTTATATTTCAAATGTTGTATTACATATCGCAGATGGCGAAAGTGCCTAAATGGAATGCAATCTCTATTTTTCCGTGTCTTGTTATAATTGATTTTTTTTAAAACTGACAAAACTGATTGTTTTTGCTTGCCGAATATTAGAAATGTGATATTAAATCTAAAGAAATAGAACTACTTACAAGCTTTTCCAAACACCTCCACTTCACAAAGAGTTAGAAATCGGGATTTTTGGATAGAAATTTTCAGGAATCTTCCAGACACCCCTCGATTGCATCTGATAATGTTTTTTCCTTTGTTGAATTTTGCAACCGAAGCGCAACAATTAGGAACTGCTGAGGGGTCGTTGTTTGGGTTAGTTGAAAATACCTCATAGTTGACATCATGGAGTCTTTCAGCTGTGATACACAGAATACAAATAAAAAAAGTTTTTAAAATCTTGGTAACTTAAAAGTTGAATGGATGAAATCTGAATTTCAGATTTGGACGTTTTACTGTAAATACATCTTGGGGTGTATGTTTTCACTCGGTGTTTAATCGATCAGAAGTGTAATCAATCAGATGCGTAATCGATCAGATGCGTAATCGATTATGTATAATCGATCACGCGTGTAATTGACCCCATTATGTATAATTGACCCGGTGTGTAATCGATCAGATGTGCAATAGACCCGGTGTGTAAGAGACTCCCGATATGTATCGATCAGATATCTTATATACAAGGTGGGTAATCGATCATATGTGTAATCCACAATGTCTGTAATAATCGCGGGGGGGGGATGGTTAGCACGTGCGTGCTGTATCATAATGTCTGTCATTGAGTCAACTGGCGTGGTTTCGATTCCCCGGTTGTACGTGACAAGGAGTCGGGTCGCCTGTACAACCTCGTGGGTTTTCTCCGGTTCCTCCCACTGCTAAAGACCCCTATGCGCAAGCGAATTTTTGAACTATGTGTTAGTCCCGAAATGACCTAGTTTGTGTCGAGTGGACATTAAACCCCATCTCTCTCTCTCTCTCTCTCTCTCTTCTATGCGGCTTCTTATACGTAACACGCCTGTCGATCTCTCTCACACACTCTCTTTGTCTTTCTCTCCCCCTCACTCTCTCTCTCTCCCTCTTATAATCAGGCGCTTAACAGATGATATGTGTAATCACTCGAGTATGTAATCGATTTGATGTATAGCTGATAGATAAGAAATTACATTACTCACGATAATCGTCAGCATTATAAACCACAATTACTCGGATGATATAAACATCTTCTAGATCTATAATAAACCATGGGTTAAAATCATCATCTTTCGTTTGGTAACAGATATTGCTTGAACCAAAATCTTGTGGTGTGATATCTCCGTCTACTGATTGATCACTGGAACGACCAGTAACAACAGAACTTGTGAATGTCGGTTTCTGATAGGCCAGGTTTATTCCGTCTACATTGTAATTTAAATAGAGATAAATTCAATGTTAATATTTGGAACGTAGAAACAAAGAAAACAAGATGACTATTCATCACCATCCCGCGCCCTTGAACTTGTTTGGAAGACATAAGGAAAAACAACTTCTTGGAATATCAATGGGACTAGTCAGAAGATTCATACTCTGATCATAGTAGCTCGGCAAGGCAAAGTCGCTACTCCCTGTAAGGTTTGCACAACAACCTTTGCCTACCTCAATCAGCTGCTGTATGTTAAACATTAAGCTTATACACCAGAAAATAAAATACTTTAATAGTTTGATGTTTGTATAAAGTTTTAACCAGCGGCTGCCAGGCAGGATACGCCCACATTATGCAAGAGATGGATAGAGAACAAGCTAAAAACAAACGCGGTTTTTTGTACAATCAGGGGCAAAAATCCAGAAAGTTATGGCCTGAAATGTGAAAATATCAAAAGGGATTGAGATCTTTGGTATATAAAGATATGTTTTAAGTTTAATCAAAATCGAATAAAAATTGTGACCTCTACACACTTTAACACAATTTGCGTACAAAGAGCGGCCATTTTGTCGGGCAGTTTCATTTCGATTTTCCCGAAATACGAATTCAACCTTCATTATGGTGGTATGGTGATGTATTTAAAAGGTTTTTAAAATCGGAAAAAAATGTGACCTCAGACAAAATTACGGTGTAACGGTGATATATTCAAACGTTTGTTTTAAATCGGATAATAATTGTGACCTCTAGAGGGGCCACAAGCTAAAAACGCGATTTTTCGTACAATCAGGGGCCATAATTCAGGAAGTTACAATTCGATATGTACAAAAATAGAAAGGAACCAAGATAAACATGCTTTCAAGTTTCATTAAAATCAGATGAAAATTTTGACCTCCAGATGGTCCACAACCCTGATACACAATATTTTGAACGTGGGGCGGCCATTTTGTCCGTCAGTTTCTGTCCGATTTGTACGAAATTCGAACTCAACCATCGACAGGAACCGAGATCTATGGGTTAAAAACATGCATTTCAAGTTTCATGGAAATCAGATGAAAATTATAATCTTTAAGTGGCATTTAGCGATCGGAAACACATTAACAGAACACAGTTTTTATGGCATACAATCACTAGTTTTATTCTAAAAGCACGACGTTTCGACAAGTATCGAAAAAGATACTTGATAACGATAAGAGGATACTTGTCGAAACGTCGTGCTTTTAGAATAAAACTAGTGATTGTATCCCATAAAAAATGTGTTCTGTCAGATGAAAATTGTGACCTCCAGAGGGTCCACAAGCTAAAAACGTGATTTTGCGTACAATCAGGGGCCATACTCCATGAAGTTACGGTCCGATACATGCCAATATCGAAAGGAACCGAGATCTTACGGTGATAAATCTATATTTCAGGTTTCATTGAAATCGGATTAAAATTGTGACCTGTAGAGTGTTCACAAACAATTGTGGATGAAAATGTGGGCGTATAAAAAGATTTCTTTGAACAGATAATGAAATATGGTCTAGAAATGAAATGGGGACAGAAGGAGGGTCATCAAAAATAAAATAATAGGTTGATGAATGTGAAAGTGTTATAAATGTATCTTGAACAGTTTCTGAGATATGCTCTAGAAAAATAATTATATACCAAAAAATAATTCAAATGTGTAGTAAAAATCATTCAACAGAGAGAGAGAGAAATGGGGTTTAACGTCCACACGACACAAACTAGGTCATTTCGAGACTAACATATGGTTCAATCTTATTTCAACAATTCGCTTGCGCGTAGGGTTCTTTAGCAGTGGGAGGAAACCGGAGGACCCGGAGAAAACCCACGAGGTTGGACAGGCGACCCTACTCCTTGTCACGTACAACCGGGGAATCGAAACCACACCAGTTGACTCAATGACAGACTTTATGGTACAGCGCGCACTTGCTAACCATTCAGCCATCCAACCCCCCTCCATGACAACGCAAAAATTATTAAGTCCGAAAAATTTCTAATTTGCAAAAGGCAACCCTACTGTAATAGGATGATGTGTGTTCAAAGTGTCAAAAAGATATTTTGAACGATTTATGAGAAATGCTCCGGAAACAAAAATTGTGCATAAAAACTAAGTCAAATTTGCTTCCATGGAAACACAAAAATAATTATATCCAAGAAATTCCAAATTAGCAAAAGGCACAACTAATATAATAGGTTAATGTTTGCAGAAAGTTTCATGAGGATTTCTTGAATTGTTTATTTGTTTCCAAGGAAACACGAAAAATAGAAATCCCAGAAAATCCTAAATAGCAAAACGCACAACTATCACAGACTGGTGTTTGTACAAGTGGCAAGAAGATTATCTTGAACGATTTATGAGGTATGCTCCGGAAAATATATTTTCCTGAGGTTGAGAGAACAGAATTAGGAGGGAAATAGTTTCTCTCCATATGCGTAGTAATATATGGGGTATGTTAGAGTGGTTCATGTACAGAACGAAAAAATCCAATAAACGAGCTATATTTGGGGCTTATTTTAACAAATATGATAAGACTCACCATTAAAATCATCATTCATTAACAATTAAACTACTGCTAAGTTGGATATTTGTGTGATTTAACCATTTGAATGGGATTTTCTAATATGTGGAAAAGTTGATCCCCCAAGTAGCGTTACAGCCAATCTGATTAAAATACAGATCTATATTTCGTTTCGTTTTTTTATACTTTCGATGGTCTACATTACATGGAGATCTGACACATCAAAGTTTCAAATTTTTCTCTAAAAAACGAATTCTTACTTTCCGCAGTCGGAATTCTTTTTTTTTTTACGTACGTACAATTAACGATTGAATTTAACATTTGTATGCGTGCGCAGACCTTAGTTTATGATAATCCTATTTTGTTTCAAATAATTATCACAAATATAAAAATCATACACATCAAAAACAGAGCACACGACATACGCAAAGAAAAGCCTCAAGCAATTTCAAATAGGTTCGGCAGCAGTGGTCCAAATGTCTAGCATTGCATCCGGAATTCTGTATAAGAATCTACTTAGAAGTCAAAAATGCGACTCCTACACATTGCGCTCTAAACTGTGTTATAAATTATAGAATAAACCGTAAATCAATTGAACCCATTTCAAGGTGGAACTGCATGCATTTTGATATGGTCGGGCTATTTGAGGTGCCAGATAATCCAAAAATAGAAGTCGATACGTGACAATGCGTCTCGAAAAATTCTTTGATCTGTTATATGACTGAAAAATTCTGTTATTAAAAACAACCGGCATGACAATGACTACATAATAAGTTGGAAGTTCTACAATAGGGATCTTTTAGTGAAATGTTAGAGAAATTTAAGTTTAAATATATCCTTTGTGTTTGAATTACCACTTATGGTTGGTTGTGTCGTATTATGTATCAGTCTGGGAATTTCTGATTTATAGCTATTGTTCTTGAAAGTAAGACGCACAATTTACGCATCGTGTCGCGTTTTCATATTTTTAAAGCGATAATTTCATATTTTCTAAGAAAGTCAAAACATAATTATTTCTATGTCTTTTGCTCAATAGGTTGTCAACTCACTATTATACGATCATAGGTATTATTCTCCCACTTAAAAATCCTTTGACCCCGGAAATAATAACACAATTACCTCCATTGTTTTTCTTTTCCCCCATGGAATAGCTATCTTCAAACGTTTGAATTTGAAGTTTAAAATGATATTTTTGCCAATTTCTCAACTGGCAATAGTGAATTATAGGATTAATAGGATTATTGTTTGACAAGGTAGGACTGTTTATAGATACCATCTATTTTAAGGCTTTATTTTAATAAATTTTAAAAATATAACTTAAAAATATGAAATTACAACTTTAATAAATATGAAACAGTCAATGCGCGACTTTTTAGTTATATTTCAGTTCTAGAAAAATGAGTTGTTGCTGGATTTATAATAACTGAAACGTTTTGTAACCACCGTGTTAGAAATTGCAAATGCAGTTTTTACCCGCGAAAGCATGAGGATACTAAACACGAATAATGACAGCCATAATGGCACATCCTCTTATTAAATTTGACACAAAACCGGAGGCCACATTCGCAGCGCCCTAAAATGATTAGAATCCGAGTCTTGTGACCAGTACCCGTAATTTTATTTTAATCATACACGTCTGGTTAATCGAGACTAGGGAAAATAATTTCGTTCAATTAATTTCCAGTCTCATTTTTTTTCTGCGTATTTAGAGCTAGCAACAATGTATCTTCTAAACGAACTCGAGCACCAACTAACAACAGAGTTTTACGGTTAAATAAAAGTAACTGTCACAGTCTTGCAGTTTCGGTATGTTGCCGCGAGAGTGGATTTAAAAGATAGAAAAAGGGCGAAACTACATGAATTGACTCTGAACCGAGAACCGTTACAATATATACGTCATTGGTTACAATCAACTAACTTAGAAATTAAATCACCGAGTTTTAGCCAAAATTTTCATCTAGTTCGTAACTACTTATTTTTAAAGGTCCAACGAGTAAAGAATAATTTTTTATATGGCTTCATTGATAAATAAGTGAATGAATAATTGTCACGTGAATGTCTATTTTTGGCGACTGTTTGCTGCCTACAATGTACGAGCGAGCCCGTGAGAGCACTTTTCTCATAAACGAAGGTTTGATCTGCGTGACAACATGCTGTCAATACAGGTCAGTTTATATAGTACAGATAATGGAGGCTGTGGGCCACTCTATACAGACGTTTTTGCAACTGAACACTGATTTGTTGTCACTACGTGTATGTTTCCACGGATAGGTTGTTTATCTACGATATCATAATGAATCAACACGAAAACAATCAGTCTGCTGTATCTCTAGCTTCCAACCTCGTGGGTTTTCTCCGGGTCCTCCGGTTTCCTCCCACTGCTAAAGACCCCTACGCGCAAGCGAATTATTGAAATAAAATTAAAAACCATATGTTAGTCCCGAAATGACCTAGTTTGTGTCGAGTGGACGTT